AATTTCTCAATTATAATTTGGATTTTTCTAAAAATTTATTTAGTTGTATCCAAAAAATATTTTTTTAATCAATTATTTAGTAACAAGAATTAAGTTACCCATAAGAGATAAAGATTACAAGAATATGTCTGGAAAGATGATGCCAACACGAGACTATGTGGTTTGCCATTTCGGACCACACTAATAACAGGAAAAATTTATAAGTATGGATACTTAAGTGTTCGTTGATAACTTTGGCTAATTTTGACAAAATAACCTAAATCCTAGGTTAAAGAGAGATGAGTTGATCACTAACAACCAATAACATAAAATTAGAGTAAATCTTAAATAGATTTAAACTAGCTAATTTAAAAAGACATGAGTTAATCACTTCCCACCAATAACAAAAAATATAGGATCCAATAAATTAAGTATATCTAATCATATATTTTGGAAAAAAATATTTTCAAATGGTAACCAAATTTTGATTAAATTTTTATATCATAATGTTCTAGAATTGATTAAATTTGACAATTTTTGTGATCACATGGATTTTTCCTATTTTTTTCGTAATTCAAAATAAAAGCTATTTGTGGTTGTGAGCACATAGTTTAATACCTTTGTTATAAGAAATGATTCATTCAAGTAATTGGTATAAGGAGTTTATAAACAAAAAAATGAATAAATAAATATAATTGAAGGTTTTATAAACATATAAGTAGAACTATAGAACTTTACTGTAACCTTTTGCAATGAAATGAAGAAATCCGCTTATTAGGGCTCATCTTCGTGAGCATCAAAGAGAACTGTGGACGTCGTATTCAGCTGGACTCCACACAATCCTGGATTTCTCAGGAACAACGAGTTGTTGAAGCTTTGTAGACTGGTCATTTTCGGGGATCGATCCACTCAGAATGTTGTGTTTTTACTGAAAGTTTAGACGGGTATGCACTACCTCAAGGGATTATTCGCCATGTTCAGAACGAACGGAGCAGTTGTATATGTAAGAGATGCAGGGATCGAACCTTAAAACTGTTTGTCGCTTAGAACCACTCTTGCAAATTGCGGAGCTCCCCAAATCCGGGGGTATTGCCCCTGTGAACTTATTCTCAGACGATAAGATCATGGTGGGAGAATCTTATATGTTCCAAACTAAATAGCTCGTTATACGCTGGGTGTACATCGTCGTTTCCATCTCCTCGATCAGTGTAAACTTGATCCCAATCCTCACGGCCGAAAGGCCAATGATAATACCAAAAATCGTACCAGATGTAGTTTGAGGGCAGGTCTTACATTCGAAGTGAAAAGCTTTCAGGTAACAAACGAGCTTGATATTTCGTTCTTAATCAGGAGCAGGATCATGACTCTTGACAACTCGCAAAACCACATTCGGCATCTATCCCCACGGCCAATCGAAGCTGAAGTCCAGAACCCCCCGGTTTGAGAGGTTGCCCACCTTCGAGGTATCTATGGTAATGATCGTATAATTATCAAAGGGTGAGAGAAAGAACAAAGTTCTTGAGGTTTTAGAGTTCCTGAGGAGCAGAACAAGAGAGAATTTTGATTTTCTGGGAGACCCAACAGTTTGGAGCAGTTACCGAGGGTGGTAGGAATATTTCCAGCGAACCTGTTGGAGCCTAGTTTAATAGTTGAGAGATCGCTGAGCTGCCCTAACTCTCGTGGGATCTGAACTGTAAGATGGTAGTTCTGAAGGTTCAGAGTCTTCTGCAGAGTGAAAATACCCACAGATGCTGTCACCTGACGAGCGGAACGAGTTCACTTGACCAATGACCTTGTTCGACTTCAGCTCTAAGATCTCCTAATTCGTGAGATGGCAAGATTCTGGGGAAGAGACACTCAATGCGTTTCTACTGCGTATCCACCCTCGAAGTGACTTCATGTTCCCTGTATCAGTGGATACCTTGATGTTATCAGTGAACTCATTGGCACTGACATTTAGTTATCAAAGCTTATAAACTCCCGTTGATACATCGGAAAAACATTTACTTCCAAGTTTCAGCTCAATTAGTCTAGAACACTTGCTAAGAGAAAGTGAAATTGTCCCGTCAACATATTGCCATTGAGCAAAATATGGGTGAGGTTGACGAGGTCACTGATATCTGGAAGTACGACTACCGTCTAGTTGTTGTCAGACAGCTCAAGTCCAAGTAGGGAAGTTGGCTCCCCGAGTGAAGTACCTGGAATTTCATCATAGTATACGTTGCTGGGTAGACTGAGGACTTGCAAACTAGCGAGCCTTTACATTACAGGTCGAGTTACGGACGAGCGGCAGTATACATTACTGGGATGGGACCTTCGATGTTGTTGCCACTTAGATTGAGGGTTTTCAAGGTGGGGCTATTCTCACAATATCTACTATTATCGGACGGACATCGAGCTCAGACAAATGAAAGAGCCTCTACTGAAAGCGTATCTGTATATCTCCTTGAAGGTCGAAGTGTTGGAGCTGCAACTTCTTGACGCGATTTGACGCCTGCCCAGCTGGCAGGAGCAGTAGTTCTGTTCCATTTAAGAAGCTTCCCCGCATCGTGATTTTTCGATGCATCTCACAATTGGAGCAAAACGAAGCGATCATCATCGTATTCACAATCAGGATCCTGCTCAGGATAACGTACAACCGGAGTACAGTTTCCACAGATTATCGAGGAGAGCAGAGTTATCGACGAGGCATACAAAGCTGGGCATTTTCAAATTGTCATTGACATTCAGGTTTTTCTGAAACCGGTCAAAGTACGGGGACATCAGCCGCCTTTGCGCAGCCATAAGCAGAGCCCTGCACTCTGGTGAAACACGCCCTGATCCACCTCCGAGCTATGACTAGGGACAGGAGATCAGATCAACATAAGAAGAGGGAGACTGGAATGAAGCTCTGGCTAGTTTGAAGTGAAGTGGATGTAGTAAACACTGCGTTGCCAGTTGACTGGCGCAGTCAGTGATTTATTGCTCGGGTTTTGTGCTGTAAGCCAGATGGGTCGGATAACGTAAGGAAAGGACCTGCATCCTGCATCCTTATGATGTATATTCAGAAATTTCCAGTTGAGCGTCTGCTTCCGGGAACATTTTATCGAAGGAAGCATTGATTTGAGCCAGAGAATTTTCGCTGAGCACAGAGCTCGGCAGAGGGTCTGTATGTTTGAAGTATATTTCACGTGGATGTTTGCTGATGCCTATGGCCTCTTGAGATAGACCGTCAGCTAATCTGACTGCCGTAATGTTGGAAGCGCAAGTAGCAAATTAACTGAGTCGTAACTGTCATGCAGCCTGACCACCGAAGGTTAACCCCTCACACTGCATAATAGAGAATGGATTGCAGTGCAATGAAGTCAATTGTGGAAGTCACCTTAATGTATTGTTTCGGGATGAAAATTGAGTGTGTTCTGTTGCAGAGGAAATGACGTGCATCAACATTCCTTCAACTGACTCTAGGCTGTTGACAATTCGTCGTACAGCATTCACTTGGCGTCCAAGGGAATTCTGTCTTGATCATGTTTTGTAGTTATACAAGACCCATCCTCTTCATCATCACTTCAAAACAATACGGCTTCATCGAAATTAAAACATAGATTCTCTTAGATTGAGCTTCTATGTTTCAATTTCGATGAATATTAGTATTCATCGAGAGTTTAATATGTGTTCAGTCTCTGTGTTATATTAGTAGGGTGCAGGGTACATTTACTAAACAAGTCGACCCACTGGGTCCTTTGCGTGGGTCGACTACTGTACATTCATTAAAAGTTTGGTTTGAAAACTATGCTTCGAATATTCTTGTCTTGCGGTAATATTTTCCGTAAATGTGCTTCATCTACTAACAATTTACACCAAGAACAACGAATGTTGAGATTTCGTGCTCACGGCGAGAAGGTTCCTTGTTCTTGTTTATTGTCATGTAATTATTGAATATCCCACGTCGTTTGAAGGCAACTCTCTTTACTTAGATGGAACCTACTGTATACCAAATTTCCTGACAAAATAATTTTTTTATTCATTAAGCTTCGAAAAAATTTCTTTATATATAAGCACTTTACTCTTTTGAAAGTTATCATCTTGTTTCAAAGTAATATATATATATATTTATTCAACCATGAATTCTAAACATGAACCTACGGCCCACAATTCTAATTCTCGTATCTCATCACAATTATAAGAAAAACTAAGCTTCTGATTGTTTTGATTGTCTCAAATTTTATCATTTGAATTTTCTTATAATATTTATCATATATTTTTACACCAATAAAAGTATTTATGAATTATAAATATACATCGTTTCAGCGTTTAAAAATAAACAAGAAGGGAATGTGGAAATGAAGATTTAATGTGTCCGGCTTTAGACCATTATTATGTTTGATGGAAATCCCCATATTTTAGCCTACAAAATGTTCGAGTTCTTTCGTTCTAGAGGTTTTGGATACCAGTGACAGGTTGACATAGTAAAAAGCCGTGGCATGTCTTCGTGATGCACAATACGGTACAGTACTCAATTCGCTTACTGGACGACGATTACTTTCAACGAGCATCAAGAGCAAACTGCTCTACATTGCTGCGATATTCATGCTTTTCCACTGCAGCTTTTGTTCTGTGGGGTCCTTTATACCTACGCATCGAACTAAATTACGAAGAACTGTCTGGAAGTGCCTACGAAATAGTTGGATTAAAAGCTAAAAGAACATGCAAGTGTACCAAGATGTTTCGGCATATCAAGCTCAAGTTGGAGATTTAAGTGACTACGCCAACTCCAAGAACCTTCGTACCAATTTGAGCACTCGAACCTTCATGGTCCCGATCGATGGAATCAAGCCACTAAGCCACAAGTTGCTGTGCGGGGGGTTAGTCATTAGTCGTGAGCCCATGGGCGTGTGGCACGAAAGCTTGAGATGGAGGACGGCGTCGTTGACGGCAAATGAGCTCCTCCGTTTCAAAGTTGGCAGTGCCGCCAATTGCGGAGAGGAAAAGAGCCGCCAACGTCCGAGCGCGGCTCGAATTTGGAACTCCGTGAGCGCTCGAACTTGATTGGAGTCGATGTTCCGCGCGAGGTATCGTTTAGGAGTGGACGACGACGACGACTACGTCGAGTAATTGAACTCGCTTGGCGTGAATTAGAAGGTGACGGACAGCGCTCACCTTGGGCTCCGGAATCTTTGTCTGTTGATCGGTTGGAAAATGCCGTGGAAAAGTGTGCGACTCGTTTGATGAATTCTCTACGTTCTCAATTGATTCCGGATTCTCATCATCGGATCTCGGCGACTTCTTTACGCCTGCGGGTGTATCGATGATCCCTCGGACAGTGCATTCATTCTTGGTTCCCTAGCTTCTCCTTCTTCGATTTATCCCGCATTGCGTTGAAAGAGTTCATGTTCTGTTCCAGGTTTTGCTGAGGGAGTGCCTTAGAATGGCGCCCCTACGTCCTGCCATCTGTCCTGAATTTGACACCCTTTTGCAGGCTCTTAGATTTGAGACGACAAGGTGGTCGACTGGAAGACCACGGCTACGAGAAGTAAAACCGGGGCTATGTAGGAGCGAGCGATTTTTAGATGCACAGGTGAACGTCATGGGTTTATGTGCGCGAGTTGACGTTGTGTACTGAAGTCTTTGTTATATGAATGAACATGGTTACTCTGTAACCGGAACAGCTGAAGAGGTTTTGGCTTTCGGCGCACATCCGGTATTCGAATTTGGCTGTCAGTTATGGTTGAAGTGGAAGACGATTTTGACTTGGTTTTTGAGGACGAGTCATTTCTTTCAGCTGTTGCCGCTGCGGAAACTCAACATTTGCAGCAGCGCTCATCGAGTTACGGATTTGATGGAGAAGACTTTGTTGGCAAGAGGAAGGAGAATTGGGAAGAGAGCGTCAACACCCACTCACACCCGTCGTTTATTGGCGGAAACCACATTCCTGGTGACAAGAGAAGGCGGACAAACGATGACAGCGAATACGGCAGGCCACCCCCTCCAGTTTACCGACAAGAGAATGTGGAAGCAAGTAGTGAAACTGAACCAGAAGGAGAGTACATGGCAGCGCTACGAGGGAACAACAGCGAGATGTGGCTTAAATTTTCCCGTGGAAGGGGATCTGGCGGATACTCAAGTCGAGGAGGAGCTTCTAGCTTTGCAGGAAACGCCCCTGTGACTGCAGGAGGAAGAGGCGGTGCCACAGGTACCTGTTATAAATGTGGACTTGAAGGTCATTGGGCTCGAGAATGTTCCAAAGGCAATGTTGGTGGCGGTTTCGCTGCTCAAGGTGGAGGATCACTAAACGACGAAGAGGATGTTCCGGAAAAGAATTGTCCTTGTGGAGCGGGCGCATGCGTTGTTCTGAAGGCGAGCACGGAGAAAAACTTGGGACGCAGATTTTACAAGTGTCCCTTGAAGAGAGTAAATTTCTCCCCCTATAACCGTGTGGAATCATCGACAATGCGGAATTGCTGTATGTCAAGCGTTAAAAGCAAGACTTTGCATAGTTGATGCTGAGATCATACCGGAAAACCTAATGGAACATGTCGGAATATTGCCTGTGTTTTTGGATGTACTGTAATTGAACCTTCGTAGAGTCCTTCAACAACTCCTTTCGGTCGTGAGCATGGAGAGGAATTAGGAGTTCAGGTGATGGCCTGCTGAGGGTCACAAACTGATCATTGAATGATCATTTGAAATTTGATCATCTCAAATTACTTGACTCTGGTACAGATCCGCTCGTTGTTTTAGTAACAAGCAGATCTGTACTAAAACAACAGGTTTAATCGCCTATATCTGTTTTTTCATCTGGAATTGTTTCCTTATGTTATGCCGTGTTGAGTTGGTCTTTGAGATCGTAGCATAAGTAGGGAATAGCTGATGGAGTCAGCGCTAACGGTCAAACAGCATAGTTACGCCTTCTTCTGGTATGCTTGTGATGTATGTATGACACTGATGAGTTGTTGAACAGGATGAAGGACAATGCACCTTCTTTGAATGGTGTGATGGTGGCGGTCAAGGCTTTTCAACCGATAGAGCTCCGGCACAAGACTTCCCTCAAATGGAGTGCAAATGTGGAGGTGGACTTTGTATAACACGTACTGCCAAGACGGAGAAAAACAACGGCCGCGCATTTTACAAATGTCCCCAGCCTCAGGTTCAACGATTTCATTCAGCATGTTCAGTAACAACCTAATGAATTCTACAGTTTTCTATATAGGAGTAAGTTCGGCATGTATTGCGGTTTATTCCACACCAGTACAAGAGCAATCTTTTGAATGGAGATTGGAATGGATCATTCTTGTCTAGCACAGGGAACCTCAACCTCACAAGTCGTACTTTACCTGAATTTGTAGGAACACTCTTGCGGATTCTTTCAGTGGTGTGATGAAGCAGGCAAGGACATCAGTAGGGTCAGTACTGCAGCATCGAGTGGAAATTTTGCTTCCTCAGGAAATCCTGGAGCTGGAAATTGTTACAAATGCGGTCTAGGTGGACATTGGGCTAAGGATTGTAGCAGCCAAGGCGCTGGTGGGGTTGGAAATAACAGTGCGTATACCCCTGGAACGAGAATTGGTTCTGGTAACTTTGGAGGCGGGCTAAACCCAGCTGGAGGACGAACTTGTTATAAGTGTGGTCAAGGAGGTCACTGGGTCACAGACTGCCCAAATGAAGCAGGAGGAGGAGGAGGTGTGGGTGGTGGTCAAGCTTACAACTCTGCCCGAACACCTGAAACCAAGAAGACAGAACCTTGTTATAAATGTGGTCGTCAGGGTCATTGGGCCTCCTCCTGTCCAAATTCCGGAGGTGGTGTCTCTTCGGTACCAAGACAGTCTACTGGGAGCGGACCACAAACCGGAGGGAGCAGCTGCTACAAATGTGGTGAAGTAGGTCATTGGTCTAGCAAGTGTCCCAGAGCGTCCGGAGGTTTTAGATGAGGCTCGCTAGTTTAAATAGGACAACATGGTTTTGACGACATGAAGGCTGTTGTCATTGCTTTCTTTTGGAATGTAAGGCTACTCGTCCCATCACGAAGCATCATGGTTTTTGCTGTTTGGACTCGTTAGTTGTATAGGTCAATGTTTCTTGAGTATGTAACTGACCCGACCAGGTCGCTCGAACTGTGTTTTGATTTCAATCTAGTAAGTTTTCCGAAGAGCTGTTCAGAGTTCAGACTTAAAGGTGGTCACACTGATGCACTCGATTGTCATACGGACGTTCAGAAAACTTCCCAATCTTCCAGAGCAAAGCATTATGAGTAGTTTTCCTCTGGGCTTAGAGGCCCGTGATATACTCATGTTTTTTCATCTTGGAAAGAGATGGACTCCCTCGCCAATGCGACGGTTTGGTTAAGTGTAATCAGTGTGAAAGTAAATTGTTGTGTTTATTTGTATAAGTTAAACCAAAAATTTGTCTATATTCCTCATCCTCTGTCTGAGCAATTGCACGATCTGACATGAGAACATCGTATTATCTTTCCGATATTGTTCATCGCATCGATGTTGCACAACCTTTGTCAGAAGATTATATATTTGTGCGCGGTTGAAGGGACGCTGCCTGTTTTTTCTCTCCAGCGTACTCAAATACTGTATGATAGTTTCTCAATTTTTTTCGACATTTCTCTTACTGTAGATTTATTTTTCCAGTGGAGTAAATTTAGATGATCACAAATTTTTATTGATATATTGTAAAGGATGTATATTCAACTTCAAAATGTGCTACTTATTTTAGCTTGAGAAATTGGTATTCACAATTGTTCAAAAGTTTACAGTCACAGCGTCCAAAGGAAAAACAACCGGCGTAGGTATGAATGTATGTTAATGCTGGGGAACATTGCTCTTTCAAAACTCCAATTAGCGCAGTGCAAGCAATTTTCACAAGTATGAGAGTGGATGTATGTGCTTAATTATGCTACTGAGTATCCAAGAATCTCCTCTTTCCCGGTCACTGCTGGACGTGACAAGAATAAATATCCGGGAGCCTTGTACTGGGGAGATGCGTACCTCGATACAGAAGGCACGTTCAGGAGAGGATTCACAGACATGTAGAGGTGGATCCCAAATCAAATCACGCCCAACTTCTAAGACATGGATACGAATGTACAAAATACAGAGTCACTTAGGTATTGTCACCCAGACGCGAGCAATTGCAACTTTGGTACACAAAATTTCTTCGATGAAAATTCGACAAATTACAAGAAATCATGGTAACCCCAAAGTGGAGCTAGTCGGGACCTGGCAAACCAAGGGCTGGTGCCTGGCTCCCAGAAACACGGTTGTGACCTTTCCTGAAACATACTGGAATGTTTCACTGAGCTACACACTCTACAGAAGATGATTTCCGAGGCCGGACTGTTCCCTTAAACAGATATGGTAGTGCACATAAGAAGATCTGTTTATTGAAACAAATATAATTACAGTTGAATCACACTACACTCACAGGGGCAATCTATAATTCGAAGGCTGGGGCCTTTCCGAACTTGATCTCAGCAGGGTTCTTGTTCTTTCCAATGCTCCTGGAGTTGAATCCGACAGCGGTCCTTCCAGCGTTAACCTTCTCGGGGTAGACTCCGTCCTTGGGGTGCAAGTATTGGACCTCTCCGTTGGGGAAGACGCGGTAGAACTGGTATTTGATCTTGAACTTGGTCCTGAGAGCGGTTCCCAAAGCCAAACATTGCTCCTTCCTGGCGAGCTTCAGTAGGTTGGGGCCGGACCTCATGATGGCGGCACCTCCGGTGGGCATCTCAAAAATCTGCTCCTTGGGCGAGTCCCATGTGATGACGTAGAATTCCTCAACCTGTGCCTTGCGGAGAAGACCACCTGTGCTTCCACCGAAGATTGGGGAAGGAGTGTCGGCCTTCAATTCTGGAGGGGTGAAGCCAGCGGGAGCCTCGGCGGCGGGGGCCTTACCAGCGGCGGCCATGGTCACGCGCGCAGCGGACGAAGCCACGGACATCTTCTGACCGTGCAGGGACGAGGCCTTGAGGGGAGCCATAGCCAGGCTCCTCGCGACGTTGGTGCTGCCATTCTCGATCTTGGCAACGGGGCCGGTGGCCGCCACAGCTGCAACAGCCGAAGTGCAAGCCAGGGATGCCATCGCTCTGCTCTGCTCTGCTCTGCTCTGATCTCGCGGGTTCAAAGCAGATGTGAGATCGATCTCTCAGGCTATTGAATGGCGCGACCGGCTTTCGACCACAATCGAGAGTGCTGAACGATTTCTGCAACCGATCGGAGCTGCGAATGCAATTGAGGAGATGAGGGCCGGTCGGATGAATGGCGCCCGAGCGAACACACGCGAGACCGCGCGAAAGCCCGAGCCGGATAAGGCAAGCCAAACGATCCGCTTCTCCAATCAGCGCGCGTGCTCCTCACCCGCTGGCCACGGGCATGCCCATGCATCGCATCCCCGTGTGGGCCCCCGCCATCTCCATTCTCCCGGAACCCCGCTCTTTCTAACCGTGGTTACCGTCTCCCCGGATAAAGTTATCCTCGGCCAGCGCCGTGCATTCCGAATTTCCGTCGCCGTAATTTCATGTCGCATGATTTTGCTTCGGGCCTGCTATTCCAACCGAATCTGGAACTTAACGAACTTATTCTTTTTACATGACCATGAACTCGGCACACAGTTATCTGATTTTCTCTTTGTCGAGAATTAGGTTGGTCGATCGGAACATGTTCTGTAGACTTATGCATTTCCCCAGAATAAGCTATCGTAAAGCTTCAACAAAGAAGGGTCATTTCACGGAATATTTATCCAGGTACTTCAAATTTAAGGTACTCTTGGGTGATGCCATCGTCGTGTACTCTTGAGAACTAACAGATATTCTATCTCAAGTGGAGTAATCATCTTCTTTCTTTTTTAACGAGGTTTAGATGGGGCGATTCAGTTTAGATCAAGATGAATAAAGATTTAACTGCCACCCTCTTGTGGGATCTGGGCGGTCCAGGGAGTACCCATTGAGCTCCTCTCTTCTTGAAAAGATTAATTACATTCTTTACATAGATCATAATATTATTATTTTTCCTTCCATGCGATGAGACAGAGAGATTATAGAAGCTCAAAACGTCCATTTACTAGAAAAAATCATAAAGGCCTTTATGAAAAATTTACAACTTCATGGCATTAAACCCTTGATTTAGCACTGATATCAGCTGTGTTGGGTTTTCAAAAAGGCGAGTTTATTCTCTAGCACCCGTGCAACAAGAAAAATGCGTTTCACCAAGTTATTGAAAATGTTCAAATGACACGACGACAACTCTTTGGACAAAGAATCAGAAATGCAATAGAGCTCGTTAACAAAATGGGTGCCCGAAAAAGTTCCAGGTGATCGAATTTACTGCGGGTAGACAAATCTTCTTCTCACCCCGGTGAGATTGCCTCAACCGTTGTAGCCTATACTCGATCACCAAATCTACAATGCGATTGGGCGCGACTGAACATGGACGGGCCCAGAGTTAGCTGCCATTCTGCCGATGTCATTCGGTCCATGGATGGAGGATGCATGAATGGGCGGGCATTCGAGCCAAGATGCAACGAAGATATTTGGATGCGCGTGCCTGGCACATCATGGGGTCAAACCCCATCGCCCTTTTCATCTGAAGCCCAAGCATCCAACGGCATTTGGGGGGACCGATCAGATAGCTGCCCTTTGGCCAATGAATCCAGGAGCGCATGTTTTAGCCACTGGAATGTGTATTTTTGGACGGATTGTGGATATGATCCTCCCATTGGTCGCTTATCCCACTTCCCAGTAATTTTGGTCCAAGTTCACGTTGTTGTAAATGTGGCTGCTGCTCCTTGCCCCAGTTCTTGTACCGTAATGACGGAGATCTCATATATATATTATGGATTATTATCTCGCGGATTTATATTCGACACAAAATCATCAAATCGACTGATTTGATGATTTTGTGTCGACGTTCGTGTCTTACCGAATGCTGCACAAGAAAAAATTTCAGTGTATCGTCAACAAGAAAACCTAGAGGAGTTTTATATTCCTTCTAGGTCATGTTAGGTGCGATGATGACATATGACAGCAGGTTGATATATACTTGATTGGAGGAAAGAAGTTTTGATCGAGCAAACTCCATGGAACTAGAAAAAGTCTCCAGGAATTTGCAGTAGATATTGTGACCCCAAGTTTTCATTAAGCTGTGCACGTGATCAACGGATCTCCTATCGTCGAGAACTCAAGCTTCAGACTTAGGAACCCATTCAATATATATCTCTGAGTTCAAAATTATTTTACATGATTGTCAAAGATGTAATTGTTTAGTTCAAATGGTCTGATTAAGCCTAAGATGCACTCTGGGTCTTCTAGTCTTGTATCAAAACGTATGCTCTACTTCTGAAGGATTTATATCTTTATAAAGTAGGAATATATTTATTTCATAATAGACCTAAATATCGGTAATCAATATACAATTCAGTGATACCCTCGAAAATCTTATAGAGTCATACTTGACATTAAAAAGTTAATTATCGGGAGGTGCCAAGTGAATTCTTATAGGGTTTCACAGATCAAAACATTCTGAGCTCACTTCGCGTAGAATAATTTCTAGTCATCCGATCGAGCTTCCATGAACTAAGTATTATACTCCTTTTTTTCTTTCAATATACTTTTCGCAACAAATACTTTAGGATTGGTCAATTCACAACATACAGAACTGAAAAATGTCAAAGAGCTTACACTTCAGTAACCACGGATCCTCTTGTATCGAAAGATATGTGCCTTCATTTCTTTTTTAAGAGAATCGTGCTACATACGAGAGCGCTGAAGTAATATCCATTAATAATCTGATGACCTGCAATGTCTGCTAGAACCCAAGGTTTGATAGTTTCGTTGATGTTCATGCCATGATTTCGTGTTTAACTTCTAACCTTATCATATGCCAATACAGGTCGCCATAACACAATGGTCCCGTAATGTGATTAAAAAAGGTGTGGAAACTTTTGCAAAGAATTCATGATCCACATCTTTGAGCCTTTTCGTAGTCTCCGCTAATCATCGAAGATGGAAAGCTAATGGGCCAGAAGGGACGAGGATTATGTTCTAATACGACGCAGGTGCAATTTCTGCTGCCGACTGCACAAACGAGAGAGTGTGTGCGCGCGTGGTCTGTCGGCGCTCAGAAACTCAAGATTCGATGCGTGTGTATGGCACAAGCTCAAGCGCCAGCCCTACTTGCTCTAGAGATTGTGAGGCACATCACGAGCCCTGTGCAGCGACTGTCACAGAGCGGGAGAGTGCGGTCGTGCCCTTCGCTCCTCGTTGAGAAATTCGGTCGAGCATGGGCCCGCCCTTATTCATTCGCGCGTTTTTCGAGTATTGTTGTTCTCATCGTGGAATCGATCACTGTGAGTTGCGCGCGAACCGATTGGAGAAGAAGTGTTATGTCTGTCCCTCATGTGCCAGGTGACCAATCTTGTGGGTGCGTGCAATGTAGAGGAGTCGATGGGTTCACTTCCGATGAGCAAACTTCTGTACCAACGTAGATTGTGAGAATGTTGAGATCCCTGAAACATTTTCCTTCAAGAGTTTTCATCATTGTTAGCCCCTTCCTTTTTCGACGCCACACCGAAATTGTTCGGCCTCCTCTAACACCGGTCGCTGTTGTTTAAGTCTCCGCCAGTGACCTTGGTATGCTGTTTTCTGCGGCAGTTAATAATGGTCAACTCGCTGCAGAATTTTGCAGTAGGAAAATTATCTGACGTCTAAAGATTGATATTTTCTCCGCAAGATTGAGGAAGTGAAGGTTCAGTAGACAGGGTGTTTGGAAGGTTCGGTCTCAAAGTTCTCTAACATGCTGTGGATCGAATCTGGTTGTTGGTTATGTCACGAGTATTACATTCTGTACCGTAACAGCTGTTTGTAGCAGGTAAGCTTTATCCAGATCCTCCAGTCCATCCACATGAGGCTAACATGTGGCATGGGCTTGCTGCCAGAGTTCAACTTCTGTAGATGCGAAGGTTTCGGTGCATCTGTCGGCCGAACATCCGTGGATTGAAGGCTTGCCGTTTCGAGGGTTGACATGATCATCATTTGTGGTCTGAACGTTTTGTTTGCAGTTTTCTTTCACAGAGAATGAGAAAGCTGAGTTGCATGATCTCTGCAGACTTGTCTGGGGACCATCCGTTCCGAATCAAAGGTCGTACGCTTCTCTACACTTATTTGCCGCTAGATTCTCTTCCGTAGAGTGAATTTCCCCGGTGAACACGTCGTGAAGTCTTGGCTGGAGGAGTTGTTGAAATATGGGAGGATTGTAGTTCTGTTTCCGTCAGAGTATTTTGAGTTTGGATACTGCACCAGTAGACTCTCCGATGTTCCAAACGGAAGCGGGAGAGCTGTTGTGAACCATGCTTACTGTGAATGTCCTGAATGGTATGAGACCATTTCGTGAAAGCCCCCTCAGGCTCGAGACTTAATGAGGTGGCACGAAGAAAGGCGAATTTCTACTCATTTCTCGAGAGCTTTCCTGACCAAACCGCGAGACAATGTTCAATCCGTGGTCCCCTAACACACCACCGTCACTCTAACATCAACCACAACCAGATCTGTTTCCAAGTTGACGAATGCACATTGTCTCTTCATATGGCTTCAACCTCATATTCAAGAACGTGCTTCAACTCGAAACAGTAATTTGCCGTACTGCGGAAGTGACGAAAAGAAACTCTTCAGTGTGCCAGCTTTACACATCACTAGGTACGCTTTCTCTAAGCTCGCACAGAACATGAAAAGATAACTTTCTTATCCTTCCTCGTTCGGTTAAGGAACACCAACAATCTACATTTGGCTTCTAAAACTGGTCGAAAGCCACCGATACATCAGTATGTAAAATCTGACAGCACGGATTGGTTTCTGAGACGCAGAATCCTGGCATTGCCTGCCAAAAAGCTCCTATGTGTGTCCGGCATTTGAGTTCTCGGCTCCCTAGAGTCATTTTCTCTGTCTACTAGATTCAGTGTGTGCGGAAGAAAACAAATGAGGCCGGCTTCTCTGCCACATCACAAGCAGTGATAAGTCATGAGTAAATATCTGAACTTCGAATACGATTCAGTGTTAATCCATCTAAACAGGTGAACTAAGTGTGAAAGCAGGTTCAGGGTTGACAGCTTTCGTTGAAAACTTTCCGATTTTTACACAGATTTTCTTCCTCAAAGTCCACCTCTCTGAAAGTTACTTGACAAAATGTCACATACTAGGATAAGTAATCACCTCGGTACTGAAAATTCTCTATACAATCACTTGTGGAGACGTTATCATGACGTGTACGTATTACAGTAATTTCTATTATGCACATGAGCTGAATTACTGATGGAATAAATGCAAACACCATACTGCCAAGTCGAGGGACATTCCCACAGAATAAGGTAAAATGACTCTACCCGAGACGAACTGTCATCTCACTACCACAAGAAATTCAATTATCTACCTTTTGACAATAAATTACACAACCATCCAAGACAAGGTACCAACCTTGTAACTAAAGCGTTGTGTATATCTGCTATCAATAAATCGTGAACAACTCACGCTTAGCGGCTACCAAGAACGACGAACGATGTGTAGATGAATGATGAATACAGATCTTAAGGGCAAAGTTCGAAGGGGGTCACATTTTCTAAGCAGGGAATCTCTTGATTTTGGAAGTAAAATAGAATATGTATAATTTATCTTTCTGTGAGTTGAAGCAATTACGTTACTTTGCAAAGTAATTTTTCTGTTGTTTTGTAACTATTCTCAACCCCGTGTACCAAAGTCAAGTTCGGGGTTTGTGCGTTGTGTTGTTATGGAATCGCGTTGGCTGTGAATCTAACACCGTGACATCGTAGTCTCGCTTGATGAGTTTTGTGGTTATACGTGATGAAATTAGAAGCACGGGATATACTCCAACGAGATGAAGACACGATTTTGCTCTTTCAATGTGATTTCTCGTACGTTCGTGTAGCTGAAGTCTAGCAGCAAGCGTTAGCGAGAAGTCGTTCATCGCTTGACTTTCGATGATGTGCGCCTAGTTCTAAGATAAGGTTAACAGTTCAGATCGTGACCAGGAAGATAGATGGATAGCAGAGAAAACCGCCGGACATTGTGATCTGGATGAGAGCTGATGTTCTTTGAAGACATCTACAACAGCTACATTCGGTTCAGCGGTCGACCGGAGATAATCTAGTGTTACTCGTCTCTTTTAATTTTCCAAAGGTTCCAATTTGAGTCATATTACCTGCTTGCTGGATCCATGAACATCGTTCTCGTATACGGTGTTGATCTTGTTGAAATACTACTTCATGAATAGAACAATAAAAATCTTTATGGCTGGGGATTACGAATGGGAGATCGAGACGAGGACTGCCTCTTGTATTCAGATAGTTGTACTTCAGGAAATTCATAGCTCATGTGCAAATTTCTGACATCTTTTCAGGTACTACCTCCAGTTTAGCCAAGAGCCATACTCAACTACCAACGGAAGACCCAGATCATATCATCCCCTCGAAAGAATATTAAAGATTTACAGATTTTGTCGTCAGCATTGAGACAATCCCTCTTTGAGGCATTTATCCTGTCGCACTGTCCCGACGGTCCTTATTCGAGTCAAATTCCAACGCGGACCAGGCACGAGCAAAGTTACTCATCACTGAGAGGAAATGGTGCTAACGAGCGAGCGACAATTTATTGGTCCGACAAGATTCTTTTGTGAACTTGAACTTGACATCTGGTCTACTGAGAGCTGAGAGTTCTATTAGTACTTCAATTCATCTGAGTTATAAACTGGTACATTCCCTTTTCCCCTGTAGATTGAAGGACCACTCCATACTCCAACGAGAGAAGTACAACGGAGTAGTTGTCAGGCAAATGTGAAGAGCAATGAATATTAACTTGGAAATTATAGCATGCTCGTGAAGCTTTGCGCTCTGATCCACTTCGCACTTTCATTTCGTCGAATGTATTGGCAGGAATTACCAAGATTCATCATTTACATGTTCCAGTAGCTAATATATATTTCCCCCATGCTGGGAAAGGCGTGGGCAAGTACGATGTCGGGTATGTTTGATGGAGCTAAATTTGCGGTTCATCTTTCCTTTCGCGCGTTTCCCAGCAATATTAACTGACATCACTCCACTTGAGGAGATACCGAGCTGAAAAATGATTTACGCGGGACGTTTTATCATCTTACGACGAGGAACTTTGGATTCCGAAACTCAAACCTAGGGTGTGTGTGTCACGAGGTGCAATCCATCCTACAAATGCACAAATGTTGAATTTTCGGTGGCGCTTGAATTTTCCCTGGATCATCTACGCAGCCGGACTTCTGTTGCGGTAAGTCATGTCCATGATTTTGATCACGCGAGCTACTAGCTCTTCCATCTCTTCATGATGTCTCGTGTAGCCTATCAACCCAGAGAACAAGCAAAAGTTCTCCACTTCCGATATGGAATCCGCCGTCCGGTGGAGCTCATCGCAAATATTAGTGGAATTGACGGTCTTCTTCGCTTGGATGACGTTGTAGAACGAGATATGAGGCACGTCTCTTTCAGCGATGACGTGCAGCAGCTCGATGGTGTAGCGGCGGATACTCGGGTACTTATTCGTGGTAGGAGTGTGCCTTAAATTTTGATACAACTGATCCATCCACTCCTGCTTGTTGATTTGGTTGATAGCTTGCTGATAAGCTTCCTTGTCCAGACGATCGAGCACTTTAGTAATCAGTCCCAGATACGATTCGTACAACGAGGACCTGCCGTTTTGCCTCATGTCAATGCTCAACATCACCAGCGGAACGCATCCCCTGGCCAGCTTCTCCTGCACCGAGGCCTCCACGAACTCGAAAACGGTTCGCAGGATCTGAGCACTGCAGGTGGCGATGTCTCGAGTGGCGGCGCAATTCAGGAGGTCCTCGAGGGGCTCCCACAGAAAGTGCATCATGACCTCGAGGAAAGGCATGCGGTTCTCCGACACCAAGGTGATGGTCTTCAGCGTGTTCTTCTCGTTTTGCAGGAGGATCCTCGACAGAGCTTTGCCCGCCATCAACGACGCCTGCTGCCGCTCGCTTGGCAACTCGTTGTGCTCCAGGTCCTTGTACCTGGAGAACAGATTGAACAGACTGCTGATCACGCCCCCCGTGGACCCGATCGTGATCCTCACGCCTTCGTCCAGAGCCAGATGGTACACGATCTCCACGCTCATCTTCTGCAGCTTGGGCTCCTTGTCGAATTGGATGATGTCCCGGAGATTTTTGAGCCCCGAGACCACGTCGGCAATGCGCCGACGGAGGAGCCCGCCCGAACTGTTGGGCGCCGACGCCAGCAGCGCCAGGATTTGCAATGACTTCTTATACGTCTTCAGATGGCACTTGCCCAACTTGGAATTGACGCCCTCGGAGAACGAAGGCTCCTTCGGAGCGACGCAGAAGACGATCAGAATCGACAGAACGCCCCGAGTCTCGCCGATCGTGATCCTGTTGTTGTGATCGAAGCAGAGGTACTTGAGGATCCGCAGCGCCTCGACCCGCAGCTCCAGGTACACCTCGGCCATCTGCTCGTGGTCCCTGCCGTTGGAACGCGGGTACTCGTGCAGCAGCAGCGAGATGATGCCGTCGACGGCGCCGGGAATTGCCACGATCCTCGACGCATTCCGGTTGTAGGCCACGAGGCGGCGGACGATGCCGGCAACCTCGACCAGCAGCGCCTCCTCGTCCTTGCCGTTCCACGACAGCATCTCCACCAGGCGCTCGATGACGCCGGGCGCCGTGCCCAGCCGCCGCAAGCAGTCCGCCGCAAAGTAGTTCAGGCTCCGAAGCTCTTTCTTATTTTCCGTCTCCTCCTCCTTGCCGGAATGGGAGACGATGCTCTTCAGCAGCCGCGCTCCGCCGAGTTGCTGCTTGTAGTCCTCCTCCCGCAGCCACTGGATGGCGAACGACACGAGGTCCATCTCCAGCCCATCGAAGACGCTGCCCTTCAGGCAGGCCGAGTACACGTCGATGAAAAACTGCCGCACGGATTCCAGATTCTCCGGCCCCAGCCCGACCTCGTCGTTCACGCGGTCCAGGATTTTGCCGTACCGCATTCGCAGCTCCCAGAACGCGCGCTCCAGCAGGAAGAGCATCGCCTCGGCGATGGACAGCACGTAGAACACGGTCATCGACACGTTGATGTTGGGCGGCCTGGGCAGGTTATCGTTCGGGTTGTAGAAGTAGTCGTTCTCGTACAGCCTCCAGAGCGCCAGCCCGACGGTGGCGACGGCGAACACGATCTGGACGGCGTACAGCAGCCGACTGATCCGCTTCGAGGTCGACGGCGCGTTCCGGACCCGCGCCTCGCCCGACGGTGACGACAGCGACGGCGGCTTCTTCTTGGATGGTCGATGCCGCGCGGAGGTGGGCGAGTGCGAGGGCGGGGCGTGACCGGCAGCGTCGGTGGAGGCGAGGCAGGTCTTGAGTCGGCGCTTACAGCGCCCGAATAAGGTAAGGCGTAACGAGGATTTGGCGTGGTGCAGGAAGCGATGGCCGAGGCTCTCGCGCGAGAGCACTGACATCTGCAGCAACTCGAGCTCGTGGCTGCGGCTGAAGATCCTCGAGCTTTCGGCGAGGATGATGATGGTGACCACGCGGAAGTCCAGCTGGTTGACGGTGGTCGCGAACCCGCCCAGGATCACCACGGTCGCCCAGAGGAAGGACAGCGTGCCGATTCTGCTCGCAGCCTTCTCGATGATGGCCATGCGCAGGGCGAAGATGGTGATTCTCTGCTCCGGGGCCTTGGTGTCCCACTCCTTCGTCGTCGTCGTCGTCGCTCCTCCAATTCCTGCCCCGGCGTCGTCGTCGTCGTCCCCGCCGCCTCCCCGATTCGCACCCTTGATTCTCTCCCCGTAGACCTGCGCTTTGTGCCCCATCCCGTCGCCGAACACCGTCCGGACGTCGATGTTGGCGAAATCTGCGTGTCGCCCCTCCTCTCGGTTCTTGACGTCCACGACGTGCTCCTTGGGACTCTTGCCCTCCGCGGACGCCTGCCGCGAATGATTCGACGAATTCTGGCGAGAGTGAATGCCCAGGCCCTGCCGTGCAGGCTCTGGTGTCGGCTCGGGCGTCAGAGGCATCGGAGCCACGGGCCGCTCTCTCCCGAAGGATGCTCTTTTCTTCGACTCCTCGACCCCGGGCGATGCCGCCGCTGTTGCCGGTGTCGATGCTTTTCTGTCATGAGCATCCCACCCATTGCTCTCTGTCAGCAGCTGCCACACTCGCGCATTTTCCTCAAATTTGGTGGGCAGGTCAGCATGAACTTCTCAAAGACTTGTGAATAGAAACAAGCTTCGAGATCTTCCTCGAACAATCTGAATCATCTGAGGGGAATCCGTGTCACTGCCTCGGCTGAAAGTCCAACCCAACATTTGAAAACTCCTCGACCGCATGAGAGGAGAAGAATGAAATAGATAGCGAGCGAGCTGCAGATCCGGGATTTTTCAACGACGTGATGCGAACCGATTGCTTTCTTGGATTCCGCTCAAAGAAACTTTGGAACCACAATGCAGCAGTGAAAAGTCAAACTCGCTCTCAAGATGAGACCTATTATCAGACGTAGATCGCGTAATCACAACCAGCTTTCTCTTATCGAACAGCCAGGACCTACTCTTCAGTCATTCCGAATCGCGTATCGTAAACTCGAGGAATGTATAAAGTACATAAGTTAGAAATTCAAGAAGCTATTAAGGCAAATTGGGCATACCAAGCGAGGCTACTTCAATCCAGTCTCCAAGCAGGTACATGTAGAAGAGATGGAAAATCGACTGGATACTTCTCAACATCCAATGCAGGCTTATATTGTTGTGTTTCCAATTGCAGATTTAACCAGCCCGTCGATCGTCACTTCAAATCAAACGATCAATAGATACAGCAAATTGAGTAATATGGGACTCAGAATGAAAATCAATACGCTGTATCTTTTGACTATTTGACGAGAACGTCACTCCGTGGGCAATCGACTAGTGAGAATTAGTATCTCTCTTCCTCATGAATCTGCAGCCGAAGAAATGACATCGACCCCAGTTTCGGGACCGAGTGAGGAAAACGCAACGAGCTCTAGGCTAGATATAGAGAAAAGGGCATGGTTCTGCAGGATGACCGGCTCCACTTACTCGTCCATTGTGAAATCAAAACTGGCCGCTAGCATGAATGGACATGCGAGGCGGATTTGCAGATTTCACTTCTACAGAGGAAGCAGTTCCGTCCCGGCCGCACCCGCGACGACAAGAATCCACGGCGAAACCTGTCCGAACGTAAAGTTCGAGGACGTGGTCCTGATCTGTCTAAATGTGCCTCGAGGAGGAACCTCCTCCTCGAGAAGGCACAAATAAGGCAGTGACCAGGTCACACACCTGCAATCTGAGAAATGAGCCCATTTCTACCAGACGAAAGCAGGCCATCTTCATATGCGATCCCGGGTTTGGGGGTTCGACAGTGGTCCAACTCCTCTCACCTAGCCCAGTTTTCGCCTAGTTTTCGCCTGGCCATCAATCTTGGACCTAAAACCTTTTCTTTATGGCTCGGAAAGCACCTGCAGGAAGCATTCAAGAGAGAAACATTCGGAATTCCCTGTACCTGACTTCGTGCACTGTTCTCTGTGAGCTTGCGCATGTCATACAAACAATGGTAATTTCTCATACGAGACAACTGTGAGGACCATCTGTCCAAGCTCCGAGGCTGGTATATCGATGCTTGATCCAACAACTATTCTCTTCGTCACAGCCATGCGAGCCACAGCGAGCGAGCGAGTCCCCATGTCACGGGCTGGAAAATGGTCACGTACTACTACTGCTGCAATCTGCCGATTACGTGGACACCGTAGTTACGTAGTACGTACGTATTGTCTTCTTAAGGCTCACCCTTTATAATTCGAAGTTTTTTCTTCTTCGTCTGAGACTGAATAATCTGACTCCGCCAGGGTTTGACATTCCCCCGGAATAGATAACTTACTTCCGGAACAGGGGGTGAAACAGGGGGACAACCGGAGCAATCCGCTGGTGCACTCTTGCTAAGAGGGGGCTACACCCGGAGGATTTTAAGGGTTAAACCCGGGGACACCCGTTGTAAATGTCATTTTATTGAAAAATTTTTGGGAGCACTCACACGTAAATAGCGGACTCAATAGCTTTCAATCCACTGAGAACCCCCGGAAATTTTTTCCGAAAATATCCGGGCGACCCCGAGAAATCAAGAATGCTCTAGTCAAAACGTCGAGGCGTAGCCCGGACGTTTTGTGGCGCATTTCCGGGGTCACCCGGTGGTTTTGAGCCATGCCTGTCAAACCCTGGACTCCGCCGATTCTACATTCGGATTTGAAGGTCACAATCGGAAGAGCAGATTTTGAAGCTTACGAATGCTGATTATTATTACGAAGAGTTCTGTTCCATAAGGAGAACCTACTCATTCGATTGAAGATCATTTGTTCCCACACAGTTTCATCCCGATGAATATTAACTTCCTCTTTCTCGATTGTATTTATTAAAGAGTAGTCTCACGTCATGAGTTTGCGACAGACTACCGTTGGTCATGAAAGCATTTCTAGATAACAATCTCACTTAGATTTTTTTGACATTGAGTTTTTAAATCTCCTTCAATAGAATCTCAGTACAAGCATCCATATTTGGTTAGGTCAGGAAAACTGGTGGAACTTTGATGTCACTCATTAATTTTATAGGGTCCTAACAAGGTTAATCTTCTTTTCACTTCTATCATTGCCATGGGGCATGATGGAGTTATACACGAAACTCAGGAGCCGTACATACATTGTGTGTGTCTTGTCACTATAACTAAGAAAACTATTCATTCTTTGCGTCTGTGAGCAAAAGGAGATACTATGGTTGATGTATCAATTTCAGTTTTATTTTCTATGCAGAACAGACGTTCTGGTCATGAGAATTATCAGCGATGGTTTACAAACAGCTTAGAGATTAAATCTCAATGTATGATATCTCTAGTGATTTTCCTAAGTTGTTCTAGATTTATATTGTTTAAGTGCTTTGGAAAAACAACTTCTGTCTTCACATCATCGAAAACTATGCACATGTTTTGGTGATTGTAGACTATTTTAGACAATTTTTTCATTACTTGATTACCAAGCTTAAGACTCAAGACGTCAAAATGATATCTTTGACCAACAACATTTTCTCATCAACAGCTTTCAGAGTGCTGTTTAGAATCAACCTACTGCTTTTTAGTCCTTGGTGTGTCAACAGCCTAAATATTATTTTTTCCCGTGTTATTTAGATCAATTTCTTGCTCAGACGTAACGTATTTTTATAATCTTTCTCTATGAAGAATTATGCAGTTGGCATATAAACTACATTTTCTTACAGTTTTATGTTTTATTGCAATAATAATAGAGTTTTCTCTCAAGGTTACTTCGCCATCCATATTTGTATCATGCTTGATAGCCTTTCATTTAAAGGATGATGTGTGTCTTTGCAGACATCATAAAAGCATGGAGCGTATCAGTAACTCTACCTGTAGTGTATATTTTCTTTACAACCTTCTTGGATTTTGAATTAATCTTTTCATATTTCCTTATCTATTTAAAAGATAAGGAAATATGAAAAAGATTTCTAAAAGATTTCAATATTGAAATTCCATAACAACCATAAATAAAAATCAATAAAATGAGCTTAATCTATCACATCAAGAATTCACAAATTTTAGAAAAATACTTTTTTTGGAAGATAGTTTAGATAACCAAAGCTATGATCATTCTATTAACATTTGGTAATCAATGCAAGCTTTTGAGTCTAACTCTGAGCAGAATTTCAGGTTTCAGTATACAATATTCAGGTTTCTCCAAATTAATATTTTTGGAAAGATTTATTCTAACACAAAGATCGTTTGTTTGATATAGCAATAAGTGTGTTCAATCGGAGATCTCAACGTCCTTGTAGTCTTCAACACAAATCAGAACATAGGTATGCCGAGATACATATGTCTAAAGTTGGAGTCATATAGAGCTATGAATACCAAGTTCGAACATGTTCAAAGAGAATGCAGAAAAACCTTGGACACTAGGCGGCAAGGGATCTTCCAAAGTCTCATGGATTTTGATCAGTAAGAGTTGTGAGAGCCATCTATGGAGTCGATCCACCTACCCGTTGCAATGATCTAATGCACCCATGCTTTGGTGATTTTCCTTTGCACTAGGGAGACACTAACGACGGGATAACGTGGGCCCGCGAGAAGCACATCAAAGTCAAGTGTGAAAAACATTTCTGACCTCCTTCTCGTCCTTTGTGATGCATCACACTGGCCTGGATTAAATGGAGTCGGAAGTCCCATAATATCGAATTTCGGGCTGGATGAACTCGAAAGTCGTCCCACTTGACCGATAAACCAGTGCTCTCTGTGTCGTGGACCAGCAGTGGAGATTCGCCTGCTCGTCCAGCTCGAGTAAGCTTCAAGTGGCCTTGAATCAACTCTGTCCGAATGTGGCCGAAGACTGATACAGTGGTTCCCGAAGTAGGCACGAAGGTCGTTCCGAGAGTGGCATGGCGCCGGGCCCAGGTGCCAGCAATTTGCGCATCTGGGGTCTCCTGATTGAACAACGACAACAACAACAAGGTCTGCTGTTCTCCTGGGAACAACTTCGGTCTTCCGAGTCTTCTTCCCACAGATGAGGCCTGGACCGGAGCGAGCGTGCTCATACTGTGCTCACTCGCCCGTACATAATACATGGAGAAGCTCACGAGCCTACAGTGCTGCTGGAGCCTCGTAATATCTGCGTGCTAGTGATTTTCACCAACCCACTGCCGAGTCCTGGATTTCTCTGGGCTTCAAATATTGACTCCACCTGCCACACATCGACAGTCGACGGGATGTTCAGCTCGTATGTATAATTTGGCTCTCAGATTATGTTAGACACACTGCATGGATGGATGAATGAATCCGAAGGGATATGGTCCGGACGACGTATAGTTCGAATCGTTTTCTTTCGATCTATCAAATGTAAATTGGAGGTCACTTGATGATCAAATCTCTCTGCAGAACTTGAACCTACCAGTTCATCCAGTGCTCATATTTGGCTACAAAGTTCTCTCTATCAAAAAGGCATGGTGTACGAGCAAATGTAAGTGTATGCGGTAGAGCACAGTCAGCGGGAATGGGCCATGATATGATGCAGCTACACTGTCATTTCCAAACGTGGTCCAGGATAGAGGGCATCTTCGGATGTCTCTGTGATGCATTGGACATGGAAGAGGACCTGGCAAATCTGTGAGCAGCAGCTGTGGCGAGCGCTGCTGTTTGCTTCAACAGAAAATTGTTCACGGAGTTAAGATTTTAAAAAGAACCATGATCAACAATTGTCCAGGCCACTCTGGAAATCCGACTGGATCCGCGTACGAAGTCAACGTACTTCGTTGTTTGAGTAAACAGCGATAAATTATAGATGCTCTATTTCTGTAGGAGAAGATAGAGCATCTAAAATTCCAAGATGAAGATGAAGAGAATTTCACCGATGGGGTATTCCCATACTTCTTTGTTGTCTAATTGGCCCCATTCTAACTTCACTGAAAAGGATATATTTATGCATTTTGTCGATTTTCAGATTAAAGTATCATTCAATCAATTGGAATTCTCGGATGTCTGATATTGAAAGCACCAAATATCAGTATGCTGTATTTAACTTGACATGAAAGTTCATAAATGTGAAATCTTTGGACCTTGGATACCGGACTCCTTACGCTAATGCAGATTCTGCTCATTGTCAACCGTAAAGTATATTCCTCACTACTCTTCAATTCGGAACTTGTATGTAGCGGAGCTTTGTGAAATGTGCAATCATATCTCAAGCTTATTTAATCCAAGGAAATAATGATCATGAATTCGCTTTGTTCCCTGCAAATCTTCACCTGAATGATCAAGTAAGCTATTACATGTCTTGGAAGTATGCGCAACACATATTTACGCACAACAAGAAGACGCCGCTGATCACAATGATTGAGACATAGATTGTCACGACCCAAAATGTTGCTAGGGATTTTGTACGAATTATTTTTACTCCATGAACGCAAGGAAGATTGTCAGCGTTACAGGTTACCATCTGCAGATCACTCTTATTGTTGTCAGAGTCCTGTGATTCTTGTTGAATTTTCCGGCAACCACCAATTGTTGCATAAACTGGGAATCTAATGCGCGGTTTTATGTTCCAGATCGGTAATACATTTGTCACCTCTTTGCTAAAATAAATTTGTAAATGTTTGCTTTGATCTTCTGTTGAAATCTCATCACTAGTACTCCTTGACAGAAAATTTATTTACTCTGCCTTGCTTCTAGGATTTAAAGATAGTCCTGTAGATGCACTGTATTCGAACATGAAGATGCTTCATGCGCATGAAAAATACAAAGGCCACCACGACTACAAAAATATGTCAGTTCTCTGCATACTATTATTTTTCTTACCTCCATTACTATCTATCGCAATATTATATGGATATTATTTATAGTGAATTGTTAAATACACCACATTTTTTACTAAATACATCACACATCTATTTTATTCGTTACACCTCTCTAACAGTTAAATCTCAATGAAAATTGAAGACATGGCCTAATGTTTCCCTACTACTCTCTTCAGTTTTGAGTGTTTCATACACAACTTCTATCATCAACATTTTTCTCTTAATCCCTCCACATATAGAACCCTCAACTTTGATCGGTGGTGCCCCATGCAGAGACAACAGGAGTGACACATTCCGATTTTCGAAATCCATTGTGTATTCGGGATAAGTAGGTGTGCGACAACCAGGTGTGTTTAGTAAAAAGTGTGGTGTATTTAACAATTTTGTGTGTAAACCCTATTTATATTTGTGTGAAAAACTTTGAACAGATATGCGCGAGGTTTAAATTGTGTGAACATCTTTGTTCTTCACCGTCTTGCACAAGAAGGTTAAATTGAAAAGAAAAGAAAATAGAGCCATCATGTCATCGTGAGTGTCGGGAACGTGAAGTTCAATGAAGATATCTGTAACTGGTTTGTGTGAGGACATATATTTTTTGTGGATTTTGGGATGCCTCCACTGCTATCTCAGTTTGGTTACTTCTCCCATCATCATACTTCTTTAGCTCGATGACATCCTGACGTAGCATACATCTATTACATCTTGCTCTCCAATTGATTTGTAAGGTAGAGCCTAGACAGAAATATGGAGTGGGTGGGCCCACCATCTACCAATTGAAAGTTTGAACTTTTTGGTATTTTCTGTATATTTGGAATTCAAACTCTCCCACATGAAACTCGCATGGTGCTTATTAGGTTTGAATTCAGTTGATTGTATCAAATCAACTAATATCATTCCAGTACAAAAGTCTATGATCTCATTACTTTCCTATGTAGACTCAATAAACCTTCCAACGTTAGTAGTTAGACTCTAACTACTAACGAAGTGCTCTAACTGTTGGAGCACTTAAGGAAAGCAAAATTGGTTCAATCCATTATTGAATATCACTTCCGCTGATGCAAAGATTGTGGATCGAAAGTCTACTTTCAACAAGACGGAGTGTACTTTGCCACTTCGCAGGTAACTTCGAGATTTTTTCACATCAACACGATACTGGTATTCTTCCGACGAGATACACTATGATAGCACAGTTTTATCAAACTCACCTTGATACAGATCTCACCTATTGGATAAAATAGAGCTGGATGCAACATTACTTTCATTGTTTCAATTTGTTTCAAAAGAATTGTCTGTAGCTCTAACCATAGATAAGAAATTACAGCCTCACACAAATTACATAAAGAATGGTCAGGTAATTTTTCTAAAAACACGTATGTAAAATTTGTACATAAATTGGTCTTTTGTAATGACACCCAAAAAATTTAGTCACACAGATTAGTAGCGTTATTTATGCACGGTTCATAGCGATTAGGTTGAATTTTTATTTGGATAATTGATTATATTTATGGTTTAACTGGCAATCAAAAAAAAATCCCATATAATCATGAACAAGTCAAATCCAATCCTAGATAGTCATTGCCCAAATCAAAATACAGACTACGGACCGTCCGATAACTCTGTGTAACTTTAAGTTGAAGGGAGCTCATTACGATGTGTATAAGATAAACTAATAATGACTTTCAGAAAGAGTTTAAATCAACAAAATATGAAATTTGCATACAGTAATTACCAGTATATTAGTTACTATCTGGTGATAACTTGCAAGCTCAGCCTCATTCTGAGTCATGTCCCAGTACTGCATTTGTTTTTAAATATACAGTCGAGGCTAATTTTCATATTGAAATGGAATTGTCAGTATCGCATGAACCGTCACTCAAAATCGTGATATAAGGTGCGCCTTAAGACGACCCAATTCTACCAAGGTTCTTAACTCAGAAAGACGAGAAGTATTGTGCGTTATTGATTATCAACAACCATCAATCCTGCACTCCAAAAGAATAACTGTTTTTTTTCCAGAACATGTAATGGTTATACGAATGTTCCCATGGTCAGGTATCTCGAGCATTCATTCGAAGTACGAATACCGAGCAAATGCAAGAAACAAATCAAGCAGACATAAAAATCCCGAAAATACAACAGGAAGGTGACTGACTCATGGAAGATTTCCATTGTGATGCTATTGGGGCCTAGCCCCATGTTACCCATTTGGTTTCATTCCTGTGCAGCTTCATTGAGGTCTTTCCATCGTTTTTGCCATATGACTTGGTCGCCACCTATAACGAAATCCAGATGAAAGAAACCCGCAAAAGTGGATAATGTGCTGTTGGTAATATTGGAGTTTTTTTATAACCTCTACGGAGAGAACTTGCATGGTATTTGGTGCAGTTCGTGTAATTCGTGATATTCGGTGCACTTTGTAATACCAACGGTGTAGAAAGATAATTCGCTTGGTAAAACAAAACACATTCTGCAGTAAATTTAGAATGCTCGCTACATCATACCAAGTATACCGAGAGGCAATTCGTACAATAATACGGGACCGTCGCTCAATCGGGAAGTTCCTGCATCCAAGACCGATCTGGTACTTATCCGGTAACATTGAATTCCAATTGAGTACAACATCATTCAAGATGTCTCTCAATAGTGAAGACTAGCCGAATGTGCAGGAGATTCAGACGCAGTCTTCGTATGCAAAATGGAAGATGTACCATTATAACAGAGATTCCTTTCATTAAAACTTCCAAAGGCATCTCGGATACAGATACTGCTAGTTCAGGGATTGACGGTTGAGGTACAGATCGTGGTGAATCAACTCAACAGAGAATGAAAAGGGAAATTTCTACAGACTGGAGCCGGGCCAGGAATCTGTTCCAGAATTCAAAGAGTAACATCTGGTCATCCTGCAAACTGGAGCGAGCAATATCTCATCTTTCAACCCATCACCACCTCTTCTGCAAGATCAACACCAAGTATAGTTGTAACTTCAAAAATAAAGTGTCCGAAGCATTCACATAAGTGATTCATATGTACGTCCTTTCTTGAAAAAGGCAAGCTTGTGAGCAAATAGTAAGCTCCACACCGATTTCCACATTCAGTATGAAATTCAAGTCATCGGGGAAATTACTCTATTCTTATCCCAATCATGTGATGTGGTGACAGTCTGTACAGGATCTGTCTCACCAGGTGATTCGGCCATTAACGAAAGCAATAATCTTCATATTAAGCAAAGAACCTAATGATACCAGATCTGTGTCTGCCAGTGACAAAACTGAACAGGACTGATTACTGAAAGTCTCTCTTTAGAGACCCACTTAAAAAAACTAAAGAATGTTTGAATGTTTGTACTCCAATGCCACAATCCACTCCGTGTGCTAAATGGATTTCTTATTCCTGAAGTATACCCAGCGCTCACAAAAATGCTTGATTTTAATAATATGCCTCTATGATAGGAATGGTGCAATGAAATTTCAGCGAATATTGAGAAAAAAAAAAGCTAATAATCTAACCTGGATTCCTGCTCTGAAGGCCCCCCCTGATTTTCTGATTCAAAACAGTGATCTTAACACAAAGGATGGAGTTTAGAAAAACATTGTCAACTTCGCTTGCTGTGGCTTTCGATGAACTGATTTTAGTTTTTGTATGGTACAGCCTCCCTGACTTCTGGAGGGCCATTGAAAAGGTCGTCCTCCATTAACGATAACAGCTGTTTGACTACAGGTCCAACCTCGCCTGCACATAAGAACGATGACCCAAAGAATGAGACTGACGATGAACTTGATCCATGATTCAAGAAAAATTAAGAACTGAGTGTTTGTGACGAAAAAGGCCGATGGAAGGGTTCCGACGTACCATTTCCAACTGCTTGTCCATCCCACTCAGTGACAGGAAGAATGAGATGACTGCTTACGACCAGCATCATCTCGTCAGCCTTTCTGGCTTCTTCCACAGTGATTCTTCCAACCTTGACGTTTAAGAGAGCGCCCCCATTATAGGATGAATTTGCAACCAATTGTTCTACAAGAACCAGCATCCTCTTGGCCGTGCATCCACTTAGAATATTATCAAATGAAGGAACCATCAAGGTCCCTTTACTGACAAAAGCTACATTCATGTTGGCTCCCTCTGCGATAAAACCCTCATCGTCTAGCCATATTGCTTGATATGCACCTTTGTCTTCACCATCCATCTTCGCCAAGGCATTGGGTAAGTAGTTGGTCGTCTTCATGGTGGCAAAATAGGGTCTTTTGATGGGCACAGAGGACGTTATAACTTTCACTCCTCCAACGATTTCCCTCGACTTCCGCTCTTCCGCTATCATGACAGCATAAAAGGTAGAAGTACAATGAGCAGGAGAAAGGTTGAAATCTCCTGGCCCTACCGACAACCAGTACCTCAGTGTTCCTTCCCTCGTTCCCGAAGCTGCAGCTGTCTGTACCAGAATGTTGCGCAGAACTGCTCTAGGGAAGGGAAGAGGTATTCTGGCTTGGGCTGCAGATCTCAGCAGCCGGTCCACATGAGCATCCAACTCATACAGAAACCTACATTCACAAAAGGGAAAAGCGAAAACTTCCTTCCATGAGCAAGTGGCGCCACAACGACAGGTCGATGCAAAGAACTGGCGAGTACGAAAGTAGAGAACGACCACACCCATAATAACAAAAATGCATGAACAAACCATGTTGTGGGAAGGATAACTCAAGCTGCTCACGAGCAACGATAGTTGAGCATGGTAAACCTGCGAACCATGCTCAACAGTATTTCCCTATCATGAACTATTTGCCTTTCGAGACCCTAGTCAGAGGAACGAACAAGAGATGGAGTTTATTTCCGGCGTGAGGAGAAAACATACCCATTGAAGACCGTTGCAGTGTCGAATACACCATGGCCTCTATGGACGATGTGGTCATCCAGTGGTACCACCATAGCAGCTGGATCTAATGTGATCCCACCCACCACACTAGAGTACATTGCTGTGTATGGTTTGCATCTGGGGTGCGTGTAATCGTGTAATCTGTTGGCTACCTGCAATGAGAAGAGTTACGCGGTTAAGAAAAGAGCTTCTCTAGTGTTGGATCCTCTGAATCTAAACACAAGGGCGCTAGTTTTCTGTTTTAGTATTGGGCCTCAATGAGATCCGTCGATGAAAATCACGCAGATTGTTTGGGGGAAATGAACACAAACCTCGGTTAGGGTCAGCACCGGAATACTGTCAGTTGGTGTCGCAGCAGCTAGCTCAGAAATCTCAACTGCACTCGACGAGAGACATCTAGTTGATGTTAGACATTCACGTTCAGAAACGAATGTTGCATGGTGAAATTCGACCGAGCAGAGCGCAAACACAAGCAAGCTGATATTGATTCGAGCTACGAGCTCAGTGCGAGAGTCATGTTTCGCAAATTGGTGAGAAGAAGTACTGGGACAGTGAAGGTACCCGCGCTCGCCCCAGGAATGTCCATGGTTGCACCTCTTGGACGGTCGAAATGAGGCCGTGGAGCGGCGAGAGATCTGTAAACAGAGAATTCAGATGCAAACTTGGCAGACTGAGAAAACCTCTGCAATTTTGACTGGTTCTGAGTAGAGGAAATCTGAGAATTTTCTCCATGCTGAAGAGAAAGACTCGCGTGTGCATACAATCCCTTGGGGCATAAGCGCGATGGATTGGGCAGGGGAGTCAAACACTGGACCATGGTGCCTGAGCTACTCGAGTGTGTGCTCTGAATCTTCTCTGACTCACTCGCTGGTCATACAAATGTGCCAATAAATTCAGGGGCTCGACTCCTATGGCACCCAGACTTGAAGAACTCCAACATCAGGCCCAAGTCACTACGAGCTTGACTGCCACTCCAAACCACATCCAAGTGAGACCTCCTTTTCATCGTGTCCTTTTCCCATTCTGCTTTTGTTTCGTTCTCTTCACCGAATCCAAATTCACAACTCAGTTTTGACTCAGGTCACAAACCAACTCGAGCCAGATCGTTTTTCCATTCTTGATTTTGCGTGGTCTCTGTCACAGACGTCGATGACTGACTGGATAATAGAATGGGGACCACCAGATACTCGCAGTAGGCCTGGACGACTGATCCTATTAAACTAAGACTTCCTACAAATTCTTTTCAATCATCAGTAAAGCGAGCTGCCGATCCTTGACCGGCGATGTCTAATCACAGAAAAGAACAATTTTCGCAGGCATGAAAAAGGTCACGACTACTCGCTCGGACTTTAAAAAAGTCGAGCAATCTCTGAGGATGTAAAGCAAGCACACCTCACTCCTAACGAGCCGTTCCTTCATACGTCTTCGTCAGCAGCCAGCCAACCAACCATCCCACTGCCGCTGCTGCTGGTTCATAAGAGACGAACGATGTACGTCCGCTGATTCGATCGGAGTCTTCGTATTAATCTCTCTGAAAAAGCTGAAAGTCTTCAGATTGCTGCTACATTTTACCGGTGGCCCTGTAAACGCCCTTCCTGGAATTCAGGACTTAAGAAGGCTGTTGCTCCAACAGGAAGGCCAGAGTAGATGAATGATGCCAAGGTAAGCATACAGACAGGACTTTGCAGAAGGAAAACCAACATTCTCTTCTATTCTGCGTGCATGGTGTTGGAAGTGGAGGAATTTGACAATATAAAAAAACCAACGAATATTAATCAGTCTGAGCAATCATAACACGAGCACTCCCTTGTCCGATAGAATTTTTAAAAATTTTTTATATGCTATCAGGTGGACGAATCATACCATGTAATGTAAAATTTTATTTGGTACCCTGTTCAGCATTTCGGAGCTAGGGAGTAAATTTTTTTCAGCATGACATTTTCATTTCTTCTGCTGTCTTCACCTTTAGAGATATCAATTTGCACAATTTGATGCCAGCTCCGCAAAACTTTTATGGCCCCAGATCCGCAGATGAGGTTTAGAGAAAATTGAAAGCAGGGACTGATGAAGTGAAAATACGACTTTTAGCAGTCAGACAAAGAAATGATATGAAGCAAATATGAATTTATACAGGAGTTCAAGGGTTGCTCAACGACCTCTCAAGAACTAACGAAGTATCCACAGCATTAAGAAATGAGCTCCTTGTATGTACGCTTGATTGATGCGATTGCACATGCGCGAGATCTCTTGCCCAACCGTCTATGCCTTCACGGTCTCTACTGACAGAGTTGTGTCAAGCTTATGTTGAATCCCGAAAATGTGGTCATTTCAATGAAGTGCCACAAATCTCCCAGAGGGCGTTGGGTTCCACTGGACGGTTGAACAAGTGGACTCGGTGGCGATCTCATCAATACCATCTAGTTTATTGACTATTCATGTGCAGTTCTTGGTCACGTATTACCACTTTAACTTGTTGTTTATATGCTGAACTACTTGCAAAGCATATAAGGAGGAGGGTAATCGTAGAATTTGGAAGGACATGCATTTTCAAAGTCCAGCTACTATCTCATGGAATGTCAGCTACTATCAGACTGCCTAAGAATTCATCCATACGTGGGCAGTATAATCTGCCGGCATGAGATAATAAGAACTTCCAGAAATGGTTCTGCCATCAAACTGCATACTTTCGTAGAGTTTCAAGTCGGAAAAATCCAATATCTACATCGTGGATATGGATGTCATAATAACAACGTCATGGACAAGAGAAGTTAATTATGCAGTCTGGGGTCCTACTATAAAGTGAGATAAAGGATGTGGCTCAGTAGCGAGTAGAAAACATAAAATCATCAAATAGATCCAAGAGCAGTTTCACAGACGTGTGTTCATAAAGCTGGAGAACAATATCGAGATTCCCGAATATTATAGATGGATACGGATAAGGAATCTAGGAAGTCATGCATGCACCACGGATATTCTGCCCGATATATACGGACTCCATTGTCAAATCATTCATGGAAAGCTCAACGATTTTGAACAGATGAAAAAGCATTGGACATGAAGTAAAGCTTTATGTAGTACGGTAAGAAAGCCAAGAACATTGCATGCATGGATAACATGAAGATCCTAGGTTTCAATAGTTGGGCAAAATATTATCCAATTGAATATATTATAACTTCTCGATGTTGTTTTAAATGTTATACAAGAAAGAACATTAAAAACATCTGGAATTTCTTGTAAAAATTTACTTTCAGATATATAATGTAATAAAATTAAATCATTCATTTTCTTCTATCTATATTTCTGTAATGAAATTTGAAAAATTTTAGAATGTTGAATTTAAGTTCATTCACATAAATGGATGATGTATTTTGCATCAGATGTAAAATGTAGTTGATATTGACAATAACTTTAGAAAATTATTGCATTCTTCTTGTAACATCAACTTTCCACATTTAGATAAAAAATGAATTTGTTGATTACTATATCATTATTATTATTAGATTAGCTTTTATGTGCGAGATTAGACTTATATGATTTTGTAAAGATGTAAATATCTTTTCATTTCAATAAAAAGGTGTTTGTGATACACATATTTACACATGTGAGATCTTATACATTTGCAAAAATTCATATACACGTTGAGATATTAGGTATAGTTTTAGATTTAATTAAAATTATGTGAGTTTTAAAAACAGTATTGATTTTGATCCATACAAGAAATCTTGGAAGAATGCGGTGGGGTTGATGACGACTGTGAGTTTCTCTGTCGGATTGGACCTCTCGATTTATGAGTGTGAACACTTAAAAAACATGGACATCACGATTTGAGGAGAAGTCGGTGGATTTGGACAAGAACGACAAAGAGAAGTTTACTTTGCGAGCATTTTCAAGAGCTAAGAGGAAACAAAGATGAACCGATCTTGGAGGAATACCTGCAACAAGAAGCAGTCCGACTCTCACATGAACTTCACCAAGATCAAAGAAGGCCGCGGACCAATAAGGGCACTCTAATACTTTCACAGTCCATTTTGTCTCCTGAGATGACTACGTGAAATTGCAACCAACATCATTATAGAAGGAAGCTAATAACGGATTGTTTTGTTGGCGACCAAGAAGCTTTTAAAGAAGTCTCTGCGCCAGCAATAGTCTTATGAAGCTCGATGGAGTCTCAAGACCAAGAGACCGTAATGCTTGATGGGTGAAAGTATATATTCTTATATTGGAACATTTTGCAAGGTTGGATCATCTTCAAGCCCTTAACTTCAACACTTACCGGCCATGGTAGGTAGTTTTGTTCTTTCCAGTTTAAAGATTTAACAGAATACTTAAAGTCTTGATGTTCATGATCAGGATCAACCTCTAGCACAACCGTCAATGAATGATTGCATAAGCACAGATACTAAAAACTAATGCACTGAAGATTTATGAATGAAGGAAGGGGAGAAAGAAACATAAACTCTCGGTTTTTGGTTAATTATGGTTAACGTATTCAACTATGCTAATATGGATATATGTTTGATAAATTCTTACATTTAGCATAATGAAATCAAATCCAAACCATTTTCTATTAGTTTGTAATAGCTTTTGCAACTATTAAATTTCACCGTCTCTCAAATTTTTAGCTAAAGTATATGTTATCCATTTTGAGTCTCAAATTTGTTTATAGCATCTTTGATTGACATCTTTCCAACTCCATCAACGTCACTATAGCAACAACTACTTTTCACACATGAATGAGTGAAAAGTAGAAATTTTTGGATCAAAATACACCTGTGACAACTTTAAATCTTTGATCAAACGAGTGAATACTATAAAAACTAGAGCTAATTTGAAATTATTAAAAATGATCAAAATGATGACTATTTATTTTTGAAAAACACAAGTCAAATGCAAGCTAAAGACTACACATTTGCGCAAGATATTGAACCATAAAGCCTCCATCTTCAACTACAATAATTTTTAAAAACATACATGAATAGATCATGAATTTTATTTTATCAAATTTTTCATCTTTGATTTTAAAGCAAACGGATGAGTATGCCAATTATTATTGAAGTTTAAGCAAATTTTTTTGCAAAATTTGTTAACAAAAATTTATGACTCATTGATGAATCTTGAAATAACATTAATGGATATAATTTTTATAAAAAAATTCAATATCACATTTATGATTTTGATAGTATGATAATTGATCATTAAACTCTTGAAATGGGTATAAGTGATAAGAGTAAATTACTTCATTTATTAAGCTACTTATATGTATCTCACAAGTCATTGTTCTATTTTGTTGAGTTATAATTTATAGGAAAAGATGCTAATGTCATCTCTTCCATTTTGTACTCTTTATCAAATACGCCATTGAAATGTGATTCAAACAAATTCATGATCACATATACATAAAGTTAACATTTTCTAGACTAAACAATGTATGAAATCTATTTGTTATTTTTTTTCACATATTGTTATTTTAAAAATATTTGCAGTTTTTTTATCAAACAATTAAATATTCATGAGAATTGACAAAATATTCATGATTTTTTTTTCAAATTGTAAATATAAATGTTAAAAATTCTATGGTTTTTATGCATTAGTATTCAAACTTTTCAAAAATTTGAAATGAAAATAAAGAATAAAATTATATTGGATGAATAAAAATTTATACATGCTCAGATATAATATAATATGTGATGAGGTAAATTTTATTAGATTTTGAGTTCTGATGATTCATCAATGACATTCTAAGTTAGTACATATGATTATTTGTTACTTGAAAATCCTTAATAATATGATTTTATCATTTGAAGGAGTCAAAAAAATTGTATGACTACTTGTTCAAAGTTTTATGAACATTGTGTTATGATTAAGCATCTTAGAAATTTTTTGATGTTGAAAGTTATAAGTTAAAGAATTTTTAAGTATTGACATAATAATTTTGAATAGAATATTCTTTAAAAAATCAATTTCAAATTTTTAAAAAATATTTTACATATTTTTAGAAATTGAAAAGTCCAATTTTAAATTTAAATTTCTTACAAGATGATATATCTACATAAACATAATTGCAAAAGTAACTATAAAAAAGTTCAAAACATACAAGAAAGAGGTGGAAAACTTTTCTCATTTCACTACAATTTTTACTCTGCAATATAAAATTATTTTTGAAAGTTTTAATTAATAATAAACCTAAACCCTAAAAATACGTGCATATTATGTTGAGCTAATTTGATTTATCTTACAAAATATGGGTTCAAATTGTCAGATATTTAAATTACTTGACAGTATATGAAGTTACTTGGTAATATTTGTTCCGTTAATGCAATCAATTTCTTATTCCAATTGAAACTCAGAAACAAACAGATAATTGATTATTGTCATATAGAAAATTTTGATTGTACTGTATATATTATTATATATAAGAAAAGTAACATAAGAGTTGAAACTAAACCTTATATAAAGAATGTCATTTTTATTAAGGGATAAATATTTTTTTGCCACAACTTTCATAGGTTTTTACATGGTTAGAAGGTTCCAACGATTATTGAAAGAATCAACGGCATGGAATTTTTTTGAAGCAGGGAATATTATTACGATGTGAAAGATTACATGTAAACAAATCTTGTACTTAAAATTTTTTTTGTCAAACATGTTTTGCTTGATGAGTCCAAATCATTGAAAGAGTAAAACTATTCTCAAACTTCACATATTGACGGAAGTCAAATCCTCACTCATTAATGTTGTTAAAGTGAAGATTGATTATTAAGTATTAGATGATGTGACGCAAAACAAAAACTTAAGTACAAATAAAAAATAGACTTGAAAAGAAGAAAATGAAATTATTGTTGAGGAGTTTTAAATCACTTCATCCAAGAAGATAAATCAAAATTGTATTCTTGAATATCATCATATTGTATCAACAAATCTACTGCAAGATTTAAAATATGATTCATACATACTCAAATATATTGATTTAAGGACTGAAAATAATTATGATGTTGTGTTGATCTTGGAAGTATAACCTCATTCTTATAGATTAATCAAAATTCTTATCAATATGCTTGACTGAAATATCGCTAGCAAGTGTAAGATACACTAGATTGTCCAAAATAAGATATTGAAATGAATGTAATTTTCAAAAAATTAATCTTTGGTTGATATCAAGTGGATGTAAAAACTATGATATATTTTACTAAATGGCAAGAGAAAAATCTTCAAAATCAAATTGGTGGCAAGAAATTTCCCCATTTTTTTTCAAAAAATGTTTTATTATCTGAAATGATTATGTTTTAAGTTACTTGCTATATATAATTTTAATTATTTATTAAAATTAATTCAGTTATTTAATTCAGTTATCTATCATATGAACTATTCGTAACATTTTTCTATATATTATTTACAAAATAAATCTATTTGAGACAATCAATTGGCTTTGTGACAGAATTCAAGATAAGTTTATTTGTACATTTTTCCCTACATTATAAAAATTTAAACAGGCTCATAGATCACAAATGCAAAATATAATGATTTAATGAAAACACAAAAAGTTTCAAGGTGGAAAAAATAATACATGTATGTAATGAAAAATATGAATCATGAGATCATTGATTTTGTATTTTGTGCATGTTATGTGAATATTTATTTTGGAAAGATATAAATTCATTATCGGTAAAGAAAAAAATAAATTGAAATATGCATTCAACATAAAGGATTGGATAAGTTCAAGAGTATAAAAAGATTGATTTGTAAAAGATTTTGACGGAGAAAAAACTATGGCAAAGTCAAGACAAACTTGTGTTTAACGTGTTTAAAATGTCTGACTCTAAAGTGAATTGAATTATTTTGCCAACACAGTTCAATTTTTTTTTAGTTCAATGTATTGATGGAGAATGCTATTGAGAAAAAAATATTCTTATGATAATGCAATGAATAGCTTCATGTATTTGAAGTCATAAATAGATTTGATATTGATCTAACTATGGTCAAGATGAACAAATATATGTCAAATTTACGGAAGTTGATTGAAAAGTTATGAAGTAGGTTTTTAGAATTTTCAAAATAGTAATAATTATGATATTTTTTGTTATTTAGTACAATAAAAATCTCGTTTCTAATCTACGTTGATGTTGACTATTGACAAGATTTAGATAAGAGTATACATAAAATAAAATAATGTTTACACTTTAAAATTGATGAATTGGTTAAAAATGTATTTTTCAGAAATGAATAGTTTAATTAACAACAGATGTTATATATGTTAATATAACATACACATCAAAGAGGTTTATTTGATTCAATAGATTTATCACTTTTATAAAATTGAGACAAAATGTTATTCTTTGTTGTGATGATTAAAGTTTATTAAAACTTGTAAGAAATCAAATAATGAATATCAGATAATAACATTTTGATATCACATATCATTTTTTCAGAGATGCATTTCTGATAAGAAGTTTAAGCTAATCAAGATTGATGGTAAATTTAATCTAGCTCATGCATTGATCAAAATTATCTTCTAAAAAAAGTTTAAATGCTATTTTGCCCAAGGATTTTTAAAATTTACTAGCAATTGGATTATCTCTAATATATATATTTTATATCATGTTTTGACTATGACTTAGTTTTAATTAGCTCTACTTGACAAAGAGATATCTTTATCAAGTTAATTTCTAGAACTTCATGTAGAGTAGTAAATGTATAGGTTATGAAGTAAATAAAAGATTGATGATGATTTACAATGGAATGATAAATACTTTGTTTATGAACAATCTTCAACTTAAGATGATACAATATACTGTTGAATTATTTCTATTATCATTATCAAGCACATTGTTGAATGTGAATACTAGAAATCATTAAATGAAGGTGCAAATTCAAAAAAATAATTTCATATCAAATTCGTATTCACAAAAATATCTCAACATCAAAGACGTGTTATTTTGAAAGTGTGTCAAAGCTAGCTTTGTCAATAGAGACTATTGTTGTAAAGCATATTTGATTTTTCCAGTAGAAATTGCGCTATTTGTCTAAAGTTGAGGGGATGCTTTGTTGAATGAAATATAACATTGAACGAGAGTCAGATATCTCATGAATTTGAGGAATAAAGATCTACTCTAAGTATTATTGAAAATGGGATGAATTATAATGGTATTCAAGATGAGTCAAAAGAATTGCTAGTACAAAGCAATAATCTAATCGAATTGAGGAAGTACAAGAGATCAACAAATCTCAACAAACATCAACTCATAAATATTTAACTCAAACACATTGTGTATGAATAATTTTTATTTGCATTTGACTGATCATATACTTAAGACGATGTCATTACATTTGCAGCTTATCAAGTAGTAGTCATCACCTTGGACTTTGTATCTATAAGAAACCACCATATAGAAAAATTTGATACATATGTTGAGTCTAATGACTTGAATCAACAACAATTCATACCACTACTTTTAGCATGTGAGACATCCATCTTGTTATGGCATAACAAACATCATGTGCACAATTTAATCATAAATAGCTATCATCTACACTCAGAATCGGTAAGTGTCATTTAAGTACAGTGAATCATATGGAAGAAACAAGGCTAGCCCTGGTTTTCGTTTGTTTTCCTCCTTGTACTCTTGACATTTCTTCCCATAGATTTTGATCAATCTGGTCCCCTTTCAGCAGAGAAGTTCGATTGCGTGAGTAGCATTTATCAATGCATCATGAGAAGAAATGTGTTAGAGCATTCACTTAATGTAAGTTTTTTGGTTCAGATATTGCCATTTCTGAACTATCTTATTTTCTTTCCGAATCTTTTGAAATTCCCTGTGGCCACTTCTTACCTTCATCCGAAAAGACCGAACAACTTGTGCCACCAGCCCTGCGATCGTGGGATTCAGGCTGGACGACGCTATGGGGACTGTGCCATGTGATGGGTGCAGGAAGGCAAAGGAACTGCGGTGATGCACGAATGGTGTACATGGAGTCGAGAAGGGAGATGAATACAGCAGCCAGAATGAACTGACAGCTGACATGTTTCAAAACACTCGCTTACAGAATCTACCGGAGCGTTGAGATTTCAATTGACATTTGAGTGGATTGGAAGAGCGGTGGGTCTGGCTGGCTGGCGTCGACACGAACAAGGGTCTGTCGTGTGCGCGTCGGAAATTCGAAAGACATCAGTTTCTGATCGTGATAGCCTGAGGTGATCGCTCGAAGTTGCCTGCTGATTCTGCATTTCTCGTGTGTCCAGTTCCTCAATTTCGTTGATGTCCTCGGATGAGGATGGCGTCGTCTGTGCAAGTTTTCGGTGATGCGCGCACTGTTTCGAAGCCCGTTTCTGATGTCTCGTGTCAATCATTAAGAACATCGGTTCGACTTTCGTTCTCTCGTGTCAGTGTTGCCCAAACTAAAGCGACACACTTTCCTAGAATTCGTGCACGGTGTCGATTCTTGACTCTCGACGGGGCGAGTCCTACCAAAACATCACCCAAGCTTTCCGGCAAAGGAGTAGATTCTTGCCATGCGAGACTCTTCGTCAGAAATGGGCGATGCGATGATGGTGGTTTCGGGGGTGTGACCGTGAGGGCCTCGGCTACGGAGACCGCAGAGCTCGAAGAAGATGAAGAAGAGGCAAGTTCTGGTGTGAAGTTGAAAGCTCCCAGCAAAGTTAAGGCAAGCGGACAGCTCGCCCGGTGGGCAAGAGCTCGCAAAATCCGAGCTGCTGGAAAACCAAGCGTGCTGAATCGTGTCGATACTCTAGAAGCAAGTTTGAGTCCCACGAAGCAAGAGGTGTCTGAAGCAGCAGAGCTCGCCAAGTATGCCGAGGAAGATCCAAACGAGACTCGAGATTTTTATGGCTCTCCAATTGATGAGCAGTTTGAGGAGAAGTGTGTGTTCATGGTATCCGACGGGACTGGCTGGACTGCAGATCATTCTGTTCAAGCTGCACTCGGACAATTCGAGCACTGCCTTGTGGATCAGCGGTGCTCTGTGAACACGCATTTATTCTCTGACGTGAGTATTTTGCCTGCGTTGCATCAGTTTTCTGCTCTACCCCTTTTTCCGAGTACTCTGCTCTACTGGACATGTTCATTACATCTCCAGTGGCGATGGCTTCGTACTATCAAGTATGAGATATGTGCAAAGGTGGTGTTGTCCCTTTTCTGTGGTGTAGAAATAGGCAAAGCGAATCATAGTCTATCGTAAGGTTGTTACCATGAGCTTGAGGTATACAAACATTGTGACATATGCATTGAAAGGCAAGACCGGTTGTATGCAAAAATAAGGGCATGTGCTTTTGCAGATGGGTCCGTCAGGTCAGCTAATTTTATAAACTACGTTAGCTTTACAGGTAAATGAAGAGAAATTGATGGAGATCATAAGGCAGGCTGGTCAAGAAGGAGCGATGGTTGTGTATACGCTAGCTGATCCTGTCATCGCTCAGTCTGCAAAGCAAGCTTGTTTGCTATTGGGTGTGCCCCACATTGACATACTTGGGCCGATCACTGAAGCTCTTGGAACTCATTTAGGAGTGACGCCGTTAGGACTTCCGCGGGGAGCACCAGGTCGGAAAAGTCCTCTTTCAAAGCAGTATTTCAAGCGGATTGAAGCAGTGGAATTTACCATAAAACAGGACGATGGAGCTCTGCCGAAAAATCTCACTCTTGCTGACATTGTTCTAGTTGGAGTCTCCAGGACAAGCAAGACACCTCTCTCCACTTACATGGCTCAAAAAGGGTACAAGGTTGCCAATGTACCCCTAGTGTTCGGGATCGATCCGCCAAAGGAACTCTTTGAGATAGACCAGAACAAAATCTTCGGACTAACTATAAATGCCAACTTTTTGAAAGCAATCCGTTTGGCGAGGTATAGACATTTAGGAGTAGCCGAGGAGTCTCGCAGTTCATACAGCGACATGGACCACATAAGGAAAGAGTTGGAGTTCAGCAGGAAGCTCTTCGCGCAGAATCCACGATGGCCCGTTGTCGGTATGTTCAATTCTTTTCTCCCTGTCTCTACTTCAAAGCATAATTGTTCTTGGTCGTCCCTCCAGGGTTAAGACTCCTCGTTTCTCACTCTACTCCCCTCTTACATACACCTCAAGTTTAACTTAGTCATGTCATTGTGTTGTCTTTCGCCTGCATTTGACCTCACTGATATCGGCCTAACGTCCTACGAAGTAATCTGGATTCTCTGTACATAACTCATGTTGTAAGAAATTCATTGCGTAGGAAAGAACTCCCTGCCGTAGTCATCAGAATTTTCTAGATTGCAAGATGTATTGCGAAGCTCAGAAGATCTGCAATACATTGCGAATCTTCTGAGCTATTACACAATTACACAGAATTATTCTAGGAAAGTGGAATTACACTTGTAACGCAGGTGAAAAAACTTGGGTGACAGACGTGTACCACAAGCCAGGATTTAGAAGGGATGATGTTGTTTGTATGATTTTAGCATGCAATCATGTTGAGACTAGGGTGCATACCATCGATGGTTCCGGTAGATTCTCCGGGCCACGTTTTGGGCAGTCGATTTTTCTTCATGAAACATGAAATGCCTTTCAGGCAAAGTCCACGTGGCCTGGAATCGTTCTTCATCAACTCTCGCAGTAATTTCTTAAACATTTCCTAAAAGTCCACCTTTTGACAGGTAACGTCGGCTTACCCAAAATGTGATATAGGGATTAAGTTTTAGGGTTCCCGTTGAACAGTCCTCTAAGGGACATGTTAAGATGTGAATACTACGAGAATTATATTGAAGGAAGGTCACATCTTTTTCCGTAGTGCAATTTTTGGGGACTACCTTTCTATAAATAGCGTCATTCTCCAGGATTCTTTGAATTGGTAATATGTATGTGGTGTCTCGAGTTGCAATTTCTTGAAAGTATATGTAATTTCTAACAATTTACAGAAAGCTGGAATGTCGAAGTAACAATGTGTGTACTATTGTACAACTTACTAATGTAACACTGTCTCGTGACGCCGTCCAAACGGACTTCATGTTAAAATTCTGCTGATAAAGATGCCTTGAATCTCTCGTGAGGGACTCGAAGTCTAAACTGTTTGACGTTCCTGATGAAAGAATAAAGCTTCTTCAATGCACAAATCTTTTATGGAGTTGGAAGACCTGTGCCGTGCCGCTCATCTTTCTGTTTCGATTTCGTGACATTACTCAAAAACGATTTGTGACCCTTGGGACTCAATGTGATACTTGTTTGACACCGTTTGTTCCGGTTTTTTGAACCTGCCTCATCTTTATATGTCTATATCGTGATATTTTTTTGGTCAGATAAATTGCACCTCTTACATTTATAAGGGTAAGTGTTTTTGGGTGATCAGCTACAACACTTGAGATGGATTATATCACTCTCAACTTTACAGTAACTATTGGTACCAATCTCCGCGGTTCAGCTCCGTAGAAATGTGTGCTCTACTAAAGTGACTTGTGCTAAGGGAAGGCCTGCAGAGCTAGGCTTGTATACCTGACAGTCACTTTTGATCTAACTGTGGTTCATCTAGTCTTCGGACATGCCAGTGCATTTCCTGTCTCGTGAACTTCTTCTTTCTTTAACACATCTTTCACTTTGCATTCGTGTGTAGAGCACCATTTCTTCTTTTTGCAAAAGAGTTCGAACCGCTTAAGGCTCATTGACACTCACTTAATACTCACATCTGTAATTACGTCTTCTTTTGCAGAGGTGACCGGGAAGGCCATAGAGGAAACTGCTGCAGTTATTCTTCGACTATACCACGAGAGGCGTAACAAGTTTGTGATGCCTCGAATATCGAGTAGATACTAGATGTATTGCAGCCATGAGCATTTCAGCGATGTAGTCCAAGATATTCTTCTGGACGAATTTGTAAAACTTTGTATTTTAAGTTGCGACGTAGTCATAGATGTTCTCCTGAACGAGCTGTATAACATTGTATTCTAAACTGTATTTTAAGTATGTGAATATGGTGATCGCAAGATTGTAGAATAAAGAAAAGTCCTATTTGTAGCTGGTATGTTGTCAGGACTGCGGTAAATCTCTTGACATCTATGGAAGAATTTAGTTTCAAAGCAGCAAGTTCCCATCTGAGACGCATCTGTTATCTATGGTTCTAGGTTCATCTGACCAAGATCTGCAAGTCTGCGCATTTAGTTTTTGCTCATGAGATATCAAGTCTTCTTTGTATGGAGATGACTCGTTTCTCTAACTTTCTCTGAAGATTCAACCACTTTTGAAACTATGTTATCAAGTTATGCATGATTGTGAAGGCAGTGTCAAGAAAGTATCGGGCTACGGAGTGATTACAATTCACAATCTGATATGCTAACATCATAGAAGAGGTGATGGCCACATTTTCGGTGCCCTTACTTCTCTTTCAATCCGCTGTTCCTCGTGCTTTCTCTACTTTCTATTAGTGGACTGCTCGTTAAAATGTTATCCATCTCTGCGGGCTCTATACTTTTATCTATAATGTACCTTAGCGCTTCTATTTACGACTTCTACCTTTGGTCTTTAGCTAGATGTCTGCTTGTACCTCTGGAACTTTGACATCCTCATGTTAACATCTCAACATCTGCATTGGTGTCTTTACGCGTTGTAAGGACATAACGAAACAGTCCTTGAGAGTTGCTTATTTGTTGCACTGTCGACTTTTTTATGTTCGTGCTGGGTTTGGAATTGACCAGCGTCAGACGTACATCTGACGCACATCTGACGCACATCTGACGCATTTGAAATCGACAGTGTGATTAAAGATCACAATGTCGTTTTTAGATCCAAGGGTATGTTGCGGCAGGATAACTTTCTTTCAATCCAAATCTATACCCTCCCCAAACATGCTGTGAAAGAACTAATCGCAGAAGGACCCACATACAAATGGTTCTAAATGTGAAGCCATACTAGGACAAGTTCAGACATAGGAAAGGAGACCTTTCCACAGGAAGCTCAGACCAATATGTCTTCATGGCCACATCCAGGTGATTACCTATTCTGCCTGTGCCCCGAAGTTTTCTTCACTTTTGTCACTTGATTTCACAAATCCAGTTGAGCGACTGAGATAAGTAATGGCGTGGGCAAGAACAGCTAATCGTCATGTATGTGTATTTTATTATCTAATGTGAGAATCTTGAAAGGTAGACTTCCGATTCTATCATTCATAAGTCCTATTTCTTTGACCACGATTGGCTAGTTGAGATTTTTACAAATTTTGTGATGACAGCATCAAAGGGATGTATTGTTAGCTACTGGAAAAGTGTGCAATCTTGGATTAACTTTTGACTTGAAACTATTAACAAGTCTATAAGATTACTATGTTATTCAGTATTATAAATTAACAAATTCTACAGAAGTAGTTCTCAATCTGAAATGTAGTACATTGATATAATTATAATAGATTAAGATTTAATTTGTCCGTCTCTGACTCAGGAATATACTTCAATCGTCATAAACATAGAGCTATTCTCGCGAGACCTTTCAAAGTCTTCTTTACATATAATCATCGATGGATGTATGGTAATTTTATATAAAATGATAAATACCTATCTTGAAATTTATATCAAATTACCATATTATGAAACATGCATCTATATCAATTTTTTACTCTATTAAATATCAACTGATATTTTATATAGATGAAAATAAATATAGCATATTTTTTATAAGATTATTCAATTATTTTTAAAAATATCACTACAGATGAACCATACATACACAAAAGAACTTTACATCTGATAGTAAAAATATAATGTTTATTCACATGATTGTTGGTCTTATTCTATCCATTGGTCATATTCATGCTGCCGAAGTTGCACCCGCTGAATTACAATAGAATTACCATAGGATGTTCTAAAAGCGTTCGGTCATCAGCGACGACTGAAGAAAAAAGACTACCTTCTTGGATGAGGTGAAAATGTTGAGAAAGGAAAGGAAACCTGCGGGCGATACTTCGTCGGATCCCGTATAAACTGGTCTCCTCATGCGGGAGAAATTTCTCATGGGGTGCGCTACTTTCGTCATAATGTCTTAGTTTTTTGGGCAGATTTATCTTCAGGCCAGTAGGCTTTTCTCCACTCTTTCCTCACGCCTGGAGTAAGGTGCTCATGAATAACGGCCGACACAAGTTGGTTTCCTCACATGTCTTTAGGGTTAGGGTTTTGGTCAGCACTCTCCTTCTGGTGGTTATATACCGTCGAAGGCACCTTGGCAGATGTTGTAGTTGACTCCAGGTTAGAATCGTCGACACATTGGATTCTCTACAACACTGTTGTTTAATGCGCAATTTCTGTGCAGTAGACATGAAGACTCATCTGTTTATGCCCGCGGTTGCTGGAACTGTAATGTAGAATACGCACTCGCCCTCGGAGATGGCCACATCGCACACAGAGCGCCATACAGATGTCTCCACTCTCAAATGACATCGTGTATCTGAATTTCGATATGTCTCCTCTCAGGTTGAACCGATTACTGAAATGACTTTAGCTCGCATGTAGTGCTGTCTTGACAAGCTGTGATGATCAATTAGTACCATCAAAGTCCGAGTTGCTATCGCAATATGCGGATTACTTAATGATGCTGAGCTTCGTCAAGTGGGATAAATCACTGTGAGACACAGAATGCGGTCGCAGTTGGATTGTGAGCCTTAGATAATGGATCACAATGCAAACTAGCCAATCTTCAATTCACCAACGACGTTGTTAGATTTGGGAAGAAGAAGAGGCCAGACCTTGACAGCGGCTCGACTGGCCAATTTCCCCCTTTGTCCCGTAAGAATTGATCGAGGTAGTAAAAGCTGTCGGTGATTCAGCGCCCCCATCCCATCTGCCCGATGAGACCTACGCGGACTCTCCTACGAGCCAGTGGTTGCACGCATTACTTTAAGGAATCAACACAACTCTCTGAATGGCGGAGTTGTGACGACGAAATTACCTCAAATCTAGTGAAACTGCGAAACTTCTCACGAGAGTGCGACTACCGTAAATTGACGTGACAGTAGATGGAAGTGATCAAGTCATCCCTGAAGAGTACTACAGTAGAAAACTCTATGGAGAATGTCTATGCAAGCTCTCCAAGCTTTTAAGTTACCATTCGACAACATATTGCTGTTGAGTAGACCTAATCCGACATGAGTAGGCATGTTCACATATCCCTTCTACGTCCAGTTTGTCTACGCCACTAACACGAAAAGGATACGAGATAGGTATGGTTTGGCATACAGGTAGGATTACGGTAAACCCGTGCTCCTCGTACACGAATTATCACACGGCTATCTAACAGTTATGTAGCTCATTCGTTTAATGACTGTTAGAAAACAGTTCCAGCAACAAAAGCCAATTCCTAATGGTCAAACCCATCTAGGTTTCTAGATTCACACTTTCGTTAATTAACATGATGCATTTGTTATCAACAAAGAAAGTGGTAATAAACTAAATCTCAAATCTTAATTCAGATGGGGTAGAGTCTATTATCTATTCTAACATAGCCTATAGATAATCTACTACTTTTCGTTACAGACTTTAGCCAAATCAAGGTATGTCCAGTGAAATACAAATACTACGTCAACACTAAGAGAATGTAAGACTACCAATCATAGTGTCAACATAGAAAGATCAACATCAGTCTTGCTTTCTGAGAAGTCGAGTCCAATGGCGCGTATCTGAATCTTACATTAAGATTTACAGTATTTAAGATTGCTTGAAACCTACAATAGGAGTCGATTAAAATTAACACAAATCAATGAGATAAATTATAGCATGCTGTTATATTATGCAATATTATGTATAAAATACAATAACACAATTAAAAGATTTAACTAATGAAATACTCATATGCTTCTTGCATCTCAAGATCAAGTTTAATGGTTTTTTTTATGAAAGTATGATAACATGAGTTATCTTCATACTTGCTTTTACAACACTGTTTTTTGTAAGTGATTATGGACAATTTACTGAAACAGTTCTGAGGTGTACCACTTTCATAAGTTTATTAAGGTTGAAATAGATATCATATAAGATCATATCAAGAAATAACGTTATGAAAATACAAAAGCATTTGCAATCATTTTGAACATGACTTAGCCAAATCAGATTTATTTTTGAAAGTCAACATACTATGAAATACGGAAACATTGGAGAGCATTGATGTCTAATTTATTTTGACTCAACATTTGATACTTTCATCTTGTTTTGTCAAGTTAAAATCAATTAATGATTGAAAGACTGAATATTCAAACAAATTTATTGATTTATTTGAAGTCTAACATATTATATCGGAGATAAGAATATGAATTTGATTATTCTCGGATATATGATCATTTGGTACCACTTCAATCAAATTGTTCTGCAACGTATGATACTAGAAATATTTAATGATACTTTAGTTTATTTTATTTTGAAGATTTATTTTATTATTTTTGGGTTACAACTAGCTTATAAAGCCATTATATGTGAAGTTTTAAAAGACTTGAATATCAAAATATTTCTAAGTTTAAATGTGCAATAAAAACTCAAAGATATATCTATAAGGACTAAATACAACTCATATAGGGATTACTTAGGATGAATATATCATATCATGTATTAAAATATGAAAAAAAGATTTGAGAGCCACGAAGAATAAACTATCCCAAGAATAAAATAAAATGGGTCACGATACTCCATGATAACCAGATCCATACATTATCAGGTCATGAGAAATCAAGCTTGAATCTAGAAAAACATTTATCATGTGACTCTTAAATGAAAAAAAAGCATGATTTGACCACAAACATAAAGTAATATAAAAAAATTAAGACTTCAAAACAGTGAGAGACGTTATTTTACAAATGTTCATTCCATGCCGTGAATTATGATTCAAGATTTAATTAACCGCATGAAACACTCGTGGATAAGATAACAGTTTTTCAAGTTTGGTAGTTTGATCATTGTGAAAAATATGTTGTGATAAATTCTCATCAGTTGATCTTGACACATCATCATTAAAGTTGAATGAGATATCATAATCGTATGTCTGTCTGGTGCAACGAAAGAGCCTTGACGAACATGAAACCAGGAAAGTTGATGAATAAGTTGTGATGGACACCAAATATTGCACTTTAATTATGTCACTCTCATCCGAGGAAAGCCAGTGTGGTTACATAGTTAACAAATTATGTTTCAAGTTCACAATATTTGAGTCATATGTCAAAGATGGATTAAAATACTTGAAAGCTATGGTCTCTAAGAGAGAATGCTAGTGTGCTAGTCTAAATGTCTTACTAATGTATCGTCACAACCAGCGCCACTTGCGACTCAAAAGTTCCATCTAAATTGTGCTCATCGTACTACTAAAGAGAATTGTAGCCTGAACAGAATAATTTGATGTGCGAAACAAAACTCATCAGTGATGGATCCTATTGTGTCATGTAACTCCTTACAACTTTACTTTCAAAGGAAAAAATGCATCAGTACAATTGATCCATGGACCCAGGAATCGGATTCTGTGCCCACAAGGCGAGTGTACGAACAACTCAATAAACCCTCTTGCAGGATGTTATGTGATAAAATACACTCTCGTATGTTCATATACTATACCCAACATCCCACAGGAGATGATGAGTTGTGGCTGGAGCTTGGAGAAAGATTGACATGTCCAAGACCACGGATGCTCGAACCTTCAGTGTTTTGATTTACTCCACCATCCTCATTGACATTGTCACCAAGGGCCTAAACCAACCACTAACTTCTACATCGGTGGAAACTTGATTTCCTTCTTCTTCATTGCCTCTCCATTTTCCTCTTTGCCGTAGTTTCCATTGAATCATTTCTGATTTTAGAGCTGAAATTGAGATAATATTTTTCCAATTATTACTTCTTAGCAGCTCTTATTTTTTATTGTATCTCAGTACTTTTATTTTATATTTTATCTTTATACTTATTTACTTTTATGGTCGTCGTCGTCCATAGCGGGGATAGCTCAGTTGGGAGAGCGTCAGACTGAAGATCTGAAGGTCGCGTGTTCGATCCACGCTCACCGCACGCCTTTTGTTGCCTGGAGAGTTGTAGTCTTGGAGGGACAGTAAGCTCTAATACACGGCATCGAAATTAGTTGAAGAACTATCAGACTGAGGGAGGGGTATTTTGGAAAAGCGTTTCAGATTGAAGTTTAAAGTGGTACGATAAAATTCTTCTACTCCTGTCGAGCTTGACTTAAAGAAGACAACTCTCTTTTTCCGCAATCTTACTCATACACTGCGTATACTTACTAAAGCTACATGTCATTCATCTCAAATTGAAATAGCCTTTCATTCTCAGCGCAATATTTCATATGTTGTTTAATATATTTTCATTTTTGATTTTATGGGGCTAGTCATTATAATCCATCCAATCTTATCCTCGGATGGTTTGATGCCTTGTTCCCATACGTATTATTTATCGACTTGGCACCCGATGATATTTTCTTCTTCTCTTGGAAGTATCACTTCCTTCATTACCAACTTTCATTTCACGGATCCAGAATAACTTTCAATCCAAAATCATCGTAAAACTAAAATTCTACCAAAAATTTGTTTTGTAAATTTTATGTTGGTTTTACGTAGAGTTGGTAATGAATGAGCATGTTCATGAAGATTTTGGGTGAAATATCCTGCTCATCACACAACACGAACATACACATTTCAATGATGAGCATAATTTTCATCATAAATAATTTTGTCCAATACATGAGGACGTGTGACGGAAAGGTGTGTTATTTCCAATATTGTCACGAGGTGATTTATTATGAAATTTTTTTTAAGAATTAAATTTTTTTCTGTAATTTGTGCTCTGTATACATGACAGCTTCACCATACGGTGTACAACATATTATATGGAAAAGGATGTATATATCCTACGGTATCGTACACAGTTTATAGAATTAATTTTTTTACTGTACACCATACCATCACTGCTGAATATAAGTAATGATATGTGGAAGCTGAAGTATAAGTTGTGAAGAACAAGTATAAACACAAGATATCTTTCCAGAAATATGTTCCATGTGGCGCTGAAAGAGGAGAGGTGTTGAAGGAGCACTGCCTCGGGCTTTAAACTTTCGTCAGTCTGTCTGATTCGTAGGAGAATGAAAAGCTGCGTGGAAAGAATTGTTGACTAGATAGCACTTTGGAATATTCACCGTCCTTCGGACTAAAATCCTGGTTACAGCACCTAGATTGAGAGATACTCTGAGCCTCACAAACAGCAGCTATATATACACCTACAGCTGCTCTGATCCAAAGAATAATTTCACGTGATAGGTAATGAAGGCACTTTCTGCAACTTTTCCTTGTGTGTAAGTTGTTGGCGTCCCCAGAACTAGGCATGCATGCAGCTGCTGCAACTGGCAAATCAAGGCTTGGATTTGAGCCCATTCATACGCAGCCAAATTACGACCTTGTGCTCACATGCTGACGAGAGTTCTATCGTACCTGAAAGGTGTGCACCCATATTGCCGTGCCTGCTTCAGTATGCACAGACTCTACTTCTATGCCCAGACAGGTGCCGATCGTTCATCGAAAATGTTGCTCCTCATTTCTGTAAATTTTTGGCAAGTCATAACGCAAAGATAAGTCGGAGAATTAGGCCCCAAAACTTAGAAGTATTTGATCGGATCTTTCTTCAACTTTCGCCTGCTCTGGAGTGGAAGAGAAGAGCAAAGAGCAGGAGACTTCATGGTTGGGTGCCAAGTGAGGCCACAATCGGTGATGGATCGAATCAGGAAGCTCCGATATTGGGCATATTCTTGGCTTCAAGCAAAGCAAGGAAAGTCGTCGACCGCCAGTGGATGTACTGTTTCGAGATCCAAGCAGCATGACATCGACAGAGGAGGAGGAGGAGGATAAAAACAGGCGCCTGGAACTTCCGACGTTGAGGATCTTCGACACGCTGACGATCTGAGTAAAGTTCCATGAGATCTGGGTGGTGTGCGAGGTGAGTCCACCTAAACACAGTCAATGAAAAGGTGGATGGATATGGGCGCTGGGATTTGATTCAGAGCTTGCGCATTTGCGAGTGCGAGTGATGAAGTCAATCAGTGGAGTCGCATGATCACATTATGATATTGTGCCTCGTTGGCAAACCTTTTGTCCTGTAGGGAGATCTGACCGACCCAAAGCTTTTTATACCCAGCGTGCAACGCAGGTGCTCGCTCATGAACCACATTTGCTGGGGCACCTGGCGGAAGAAGGTTAGACGAGAAGCTTTGGAGCTGAGTTGGGTCGAGGCGAGTTGAGTTCTCCGTGGAAAACAGTCAAGAGCCATGTCTTATGTACGTCCATCAAAACACCCGGAAACTTGTTGTTTGCTCGAGGTGGCTTGGATATGTTTCTGAGTTGCTGTTGGCTGCTGAATTGGTGATTCTGGACAGATGGCAGAAAGTAGAATTCATGAGGACGCCCTCACAGTTACTCGCAACCGTGCAAACAACTGATTGTCAAAATCCTTCAGACCGTCGTCGAGCTGAGCTGTGACGTAGAGCAGCTAGTAGGATCGATCGACGATTTTGTTCATTGTCTACAGGTCACAGTTCGCAGCCGTACAAGGAGTCAAACCTTCACAAAGTTTACAGACAGTTGTGTTTTATTGCTGCTGTTGATATTATCGAGGGGTGTTTCATACGAGCGGAGCGTGTGGCCGGCTTTTACGAGGATACTTTGTTCCTCGGACTGATTGGATGGAAGTAGGTTCTGGTGGATTGTGTCTGAGCATGGCGGCCTGACATTGTGCGCAGAACGAGGATGACCAAGGATGGCAGACTGTCGGAGGTGGAGATGGAGATGGAGGCAACAGGCGTAATCGTCGAAACGACAATGACGAGGAGGTTTGCAATTATGCCGACGAGCCGCCTCTCATTTTCCTTTCGTTGTTTCTAATTGCTGAAATTGGGGTCTTATCTGGTGGCTTGATTATCTTCGGGGAGGATCAGCAATGCTCATCCCCTGCGTTTGTACGCTCTGAAAACAGGGGGGGAATGAAAATGTCTGGAACAACAATCGCAGGCGAAATGATGACGATGAAGGGCATTATCGGCCCCCTCGGAGGGACGACAATGAGGTCTGACTCTTTTGCCCACTTTTCAACCTGGTCACTCTCCGTTGTGGCTCTCATCAGCATGTCCCTTCTGACTTTTCAGGTTAGATCTATCAGATCAGTCTGAGATATATCTGCTACTCCAAGCTTGACATGATGAACAGAGTTGTCGCCTGCTTTTTGCTGCACGTATTTTCTCATTACATATTTGTAATGTGGACCAGGGTGAGACCGGCAATGCGTGGTCAGGTGGAAGGACTGATAATGTAAGTGCGGTTTCTTCACATTGTCAATCTATCAATACTCTTCTTCTTTTTTGGTTTTTTCGCTGTGTTTGCATCAGTTTAGTGTTAATTGTTCATTTCTCGTCTTATAGAATATGCTTCGAGGCCACACATCATAGCTCTGCTTAGACCGTTTCTCTCTGCACACATCAGCTGCTGGTTCTGCCGGTCTTCTCGCTGTAATTGGGGCAGTATATTTTGGGGAGACGGTGTTCTACTTGCTGACCTTCATTACGATTGTGTTGAAGCAGTATGAAGAGCCAGCTGGGCGCAGACCACAGAGTGGATCTTACGGTCGTCAGGACTACCAGGCCGATGAAGAGGCGTGGCCGTCTCTAGGAGATGACGAGCGTCCTCCGAGAAGGCAAGGGCGGGTAAGCAAAAGTCACAATTGCATTCGAATTTAATGGGAGTTTTTTCAGATTTTGTGAACGAAAACTATCGATCTATCTTCACGAAGCGAAGGTAGATCTCTCTTCTGACTCCGGTGGCTGCTTCCGTCGAGGGATGAGTGGATTGCAGTGTCAAGCAACGGCGGACTTACAGCTGAATTTCGATCTTGCAGGCCGATGAGGCATCATCTTGGCGTCCTCAAGAGCCAGTTCAGCAACTCCACTCTCATACGCAAGAGCATCAGGCAAGTCCAGAAGGAGTGATTCTTTTAGAGCTTGCTGTGATGTCTAGATGAGCTACAGCTCTTTTGTTCAGTCTTCAGTTGGTGACTCTCTTGACCGCGATGAAGCAATGCCGTCGGGTCTCATGGACTTCCAGAATTGATGATCGTTCAGATTCCCTGGAAATGCTGGGGTGGCTGAACCGAAATTTCCAGCAGGTGAAGCTTTTAGAATAGACTGGCACTCCGTTCAATGTGCAAACGGGACGTTTTTCAGCTCAAGGTCAGTGAAAGATAGCTCGTCAGTACCTTAAGTTTCAGTTACGTGAGCTCCAAAGTGGCTGGCCATCTTTTTGGTGCGCGGGAGGGATTTGGAAGATGGACGACTTTCTTTCCATCTTGCTGGTCACACTTACAGATGCATACGTAGGCTGGACTCTGGATTTTGAACTTGACAGATGCAAGGTGTGAATGGGTTTTCAGGAGAAAAAGGAATCTAAGTTTTCCATGCGGGGTATGTTCTCGGCCTTGAAAAAGACCGTGAAGGCAAAAGTGCATGAGGTGCTTCATGAGGTCAGATTTTGAAACAACGAGTAATCACTGACACTGCACACTCACGTGGTGGAATGGGTGCTAATGTCACTGGCTGCTGCTATCACCAAATTCACCTGTGGCAAAGCTATTTTCTAGTGAATTAGGTTCACAGCACGAACTGCTTGAGTATGCTTTCTACAAAAGTGAGTGGCTGTAGATGTAGGCTACGTACCATGGTTTCTACCGGAGAGTGCATGTTGGGGAGGCAATGCAGGTTAGCCTTTTGGGCTGTTTTCTCATGGTCTGTGGCCTTGGAGAATCACAGCCTGGCAAAAACATTTTGCTTTTGCTTCCTGATTAGTACTTGACCTGATGCCGGCAGTTATAGTATTCTTCGAGCTAAATTGTGGGGCCGGGGATGTACTTGCAGTTGACAGAAGAGTTGAGACACAACTTCAAATTGCCAGCTAGTGAGCAGCAATACGCGGAGAGTGTTAGCTCGGATGTCAATACCGATCCATCGAATGATGAACTCGAGGATGTGGCCGCAGCATGTGCGAAACTGTGGGAGCTAGATATCAACAGGTTGACACCAGGAACGGACTACGAGATCGATTGCGGGGAAGGGAAGAAGATGTACCAGAGGGAGGATATGGAAGAGAATGCTCTATTCAGGCACTTGGATCCATCAGTTTTTCGCAGACCGACATATGCACGATTCGTAGCATTGCTTGATAATTACAACGCCAGTATGAGCGTGTCGGAGAGGAAATCCAGGGAAGAGGAGCAGGAAGAAGAAGCGTTCGTTGAGGAGATTAGCAGGACCGCACCCATTCAGTACCTGAAGAAATATTTGTCTTCCAAGGGAATCGTCCGAGGAGGTGACGAGCAGTTCAAAAACATGCTGCGCAACTTGTGGTTCAAAATGTTCGACAGAAGTGGCACTGATGACTCCTCGTCAGCTTTTGAGCACGTGTTTGTTGGGGAGATCAAGCGCGGCAGAGACAACTCGGACGAGGTGTCCGGTCTCCACAACTGGATTCAGGTATGCAGTTGCTACTCAGGATCTGATTCTGCAACGAAAGCAACACTCTCCAATCAAACTGTTTTTGATGGGCCTCGAGAAGCATTGACTTCGTTTCCCGATCTTTTCTAACTCGTCACCCTGCTCCTGCAGTTTTATCTCGAGGAAGCGAAAGGAACTCTAGATTACCAAGGTTTCATCCTGCCAAGGCGAAGGGGAGACGAGCTGGTGAGTCTTCCTTTCCTTCCAAAAAACCTTCTGCATTCCCGACGATCAGGAATGTTCTCTCCAAACTAGAATTCGGAGACATTTCTGCGCAACTTACAGAGCGAACAGGAAACGTGACAGTGAATTTGGGTTTCTCGTCGTGCAGCCTGATTCACAATCGCAGCTGCTGACCGTGCAATTCAAGTGGAACGGTTTTCTGAAGCCGTTGAGCAGTACCTTGGTGGGTGTGAGCCCCGAGTTCGAGATGGCTCTCTACACCTTGTGCTTTTATGGTGGACAAGAAGATAATCACGTACAATTGGGTCCCTACTCCGTGAACATCAAGGTTTACCCGCTCGGCCGTAACGGGATTGGCTCAGCTTTCCCCATAGCCGAAGAGTAAGTGTACTGATTTATCTCAGAAGCAGGCTTGCAGGTTGAGCAGCAACTCATTTGGGATGATCAACAGCAGTCACATTGCCTGCGTCCTCTGAAGGCCGAGGCGGTCCTAGAGTCCAGCCATCGATGTAAATCATTCAGGCCTCGAAGATGCTCGAGCCCAGACAAAGTTCAGAAGGCCCCTCTATGTTCATGCTAGACCATGCTATCGTGCTCTGTAGCTACAATTGACCAGGAACACGATGCTGCAAGTTGGAAGCAGGTAGTTGCACTCCTCTGCGCTTGCAGAAGGAAATGTGCCCTTCCAAACACCCATGAAAGTGGGTCGTCATACAAAAGGAAGACCTTCCTATTCCTGTACATGGTGCTATTGGTGTTAATTGTTGTGAAAATTGTCAATGAACACAAAGATCCAGACGATCGTCATATCAATTGTTCTCAGGAGAGCTTCTCGCCAGTTCCAGTCCGTTCATGTTGATGTCTGTCATTTACAAGCAGACCTTTCTGTTCACCGCCATTGTTTTTGAGTATGATCTGCAAGGTACAGTAGTCTCCCGGTTAAGTACCCATTTTTTTTGCACAAAAATAGGGTTCAACCCATGACATGTTCTTTCATTTGGTTTATGGTCAAAAATTGTTACACCTCCTAGTGGTTGTCTCACATCTAATTAGAGCGTGAACCTCTAGTGGATGATATATACTCGTTTAACATTAGAGACAAACTCTAACAGTAGAGAAAAAAGCAAGCCATTATCGCAAAATGAAGAAAAGATTATATCATCTTTTTGAGGTTTTAGATTATATTGGGTTATAGAGTCCATGATAAAATTTCAAATCACTCTCCTAGAAGCGACACCTTTGACAACTCACTTGGCAATTGAATACGACTTGGCAATTACAAATATGTGCTGGAGTCCATATATGATATCAATAAACTCAATGCAATATTTTTTGATTTGGCGGTGTCAGTAGATGTCAGAAGTGCGAGATTACAAAGTCTTCTCTTTAACTTCATCTACATTAACTCAATTTAGGTTTGTGATTTGTTCCGTTTGTCTCATCTTCATGTCACTTGCAAGCTCGAGCTCTTCCAATGGAATCATGATTTTGTTCAGTTTCTCTATGATATCAAATAGCGCCGAGTCATTTAGGAGTGTTCATATAAAGTTACTTTGATATTACACTCAAATCAAACGATTAGAAAGTCAATATTCTTAAGTACGCACATCACTCCGGAATTCAAAGTGCGTACTTAACCGGGAGACTACTGCATGTCTGCTGGTTATGGCGCCTCAACTTAGCCATACAAGGTCTTCAGTAGTGAGTAGTGGCTAAGCGTTCGCGAGGGAGCGCTGTGGAGTGTCTTCGTCTTGTTTAAGAGCTCTGTATAGATCGCGAGTGCTGGTCTCCACAATGTGAAACTCATCGCCTTCAGACTATGACAAGCGAACTCATCAGTTTCCAACCAGTTCCCAATTCGTCATAATATTTGACGAGTTCAGTATCTAAAAATGTGTGTCCACATGTGAGAGTTGCATAAGCGTGGAGATCTGGTCTGCAACTGCATAGTCGTAATCTTTAGCTCAGGATGTGCAATAATTTAATGGCATGAGTGAAGTCATAGCGTGCAGTCACCGACAAACTTGAGAAAACGGTGTAGATGGTCGATACCTTGTGCATTCCACTCAACAGATCCGAAATAGTGTCATCTTTTATGCTGTGAGCTCTGCGTTTATTCACACATACCTTCTGTTATTCGTTATGTTGACTATACTTTGAGATTCAAAGCAAGGTCGGATAGATTGAAAAATATTGCTGTGCATGTCTGGCGATATATGCATTGTGATGTACCTAGTACCTTGATACCTACGTGAAAAGAAACTATCTGTAATGATTTTTTGAATTTATCTAGGCGAAGTACATGATACATTGGCTGGAATTAAGCTTTCCTTATTTCAATTATCATTTATAAGACTCGATAAAAAAATGAAGAAACTCTTGCACCTATTATGTATTGTCAAAGTGATTTTGATACACATTCGATGGCATCATCAACGTCATAGGAACATACAAAGTAAAATTCATTTGTTGAATGGGGAACGAGCTCTAGACTTGACATGATGTATATCGTCTGCATTTGATAAGCGTTACATAACTTCGTCGGATTTGGTGAACGCATGTTAAAAAAGGATCGGCTCGTGTGCAACTCATGCATCATGGCCATAATGTGCCTACTTGCTAGAAGGCTAACAAGTGGACTCGAATACTCCAGTACATTTTGAGTAACTACCACTTAAAGATTTAACTTGGCTAGAAGGGAAAGCTTGTCAACATACTGTGTTTTGGCACCAGTCACATCCAGTAGATTGGAGAAATATTGATCCAAACTGGTTTACAGTGACATTGAAAAATGGTTTTGCAAAGTCCGTGCCTCGGATCGAAGGAACTATATGCGTTATTGCAATTTACGTGCACATCACGGATGGACCGACACATACGGTTCACGTCTCAAAGTGTGGATTGAAATGGAGTCATTACCATTAACCAGCAGTTCTGCAGCCATGTCTTATACGTCGGATGTAAGTCTATTGCGCCAAATGTAATTAGGAGAAGAAGAGAACCGCAGGAGAGCTCGATAAGTTTGGTATCTGAAGGGTGTCAGGCTAACTAGCAAAATTAGAAAGATACGTAGTTCCCCCTTGCAGAGAGAGGGAGGAAGAACTGCAACTGCCAAGAGTCCATTAACATTCACTCCCATCTGACAGATGACAATGTGAAGATGTCCGAGTAAGTGGAGTGGAGTGGAGCACAAGCGATGGCTGGGTCCTCCTTGATTACGAGTAGCTTCATGGCTTCAAGGAGTTTGTGGAGAATTTCGTCCTGGTGTGCGTCTCCATCGTGTGAAGTCTTGTACTTCAGTCCGTATGGAATCGTCCGCGAGTGGTCCTCGCCTTCGAGGAGTTCTGCCTCGATCAATCGGCGAGAGGATTGGTATCATACAGAGCTGAGCAGAAGACTAACTGCAAACCAGACGCACTCTGAAAATTCATGCCGAATTTCATGGAGCCAAAGGCCGGCGAGATGCACGAGATCAATGGTAAACGCTAGAGCAGCTACCAGGTCTTCCGTGATTGAGAAGTCTGACAATGCTGTATCGTTGAAGTCCCGCCTCCTCAAGGGAGAAAAACTGTACGGGGCATTCTCGTTGAGTTTCTCCAATGTGGTCGCTGAAATTCTGGGCTGGGCAGGCTACGACTTCGTCGTTGTGGACATGGAGCACGGCCCTGGAGAGACTTTTGCTGCCCTGCCTGTCCTGCAGGCCCTAGCAGCCACCAACACTCCTGCTGTACTCCGCCTCCCTGTGAACGATCCCGTGCTGGTCAAGAAGGCTCTGGATTTGGGACCAGCAGGTATCATGTTCCCCATGATAGAGAACGCCGACGACGCCAGACGAGCAGTCGCTGCATGCCGCTATCCTCCTCTGGGAATTCGAGGAGCTGCCCACCCTCTCGTAAGGGCATCTCGCTACGGGCTCGATGCTTGCTACCTCGACAACTGCGAGCAGGACCTTCTCGTCCTGTGCCAGGTATAATCAAATCACGGTATCACTCTACATGATCAGCCTGTCTATCTTGCCGTTGTGCATCACACGAGTGTCGGCTGGTGAATAACACAGGGGTTTAAGTACAAATTCGCAAATGCAGTATCCTGATGATTGAATGTCAGCAACAATACTGGCGTCATCAGGCAAGTAGTTGAGGTTACGCAATTTATCAGTTGACCGACTTGGCTGACCGACCACGTCAGATTCATTCTCCCGAGTGAGGAGAACTTCTTCCAGTTCCTTAGGATGGGATATATCTGCGCAATGTGTGTCACGGAGTAAAGCAGTGGTAGTTCTCATCACTGTCTTGGAGAGATGACGAGAGGTCATATGCTCTCTCCTGTGAGGGACTTGCATGCTCGCATTCCACAAAGGCTTTGTTCAAACATTGCGATCATACATCGTTCATGCTTCCTCGAGTGATGGGTTGTGCCCCATCTTTCTCTTCTGGTTTTTTTGACAGGTTGAGACGGAGGCCGCTGTCCATCGAATTCCAGAAATTGCAGTAGTGGAAGGTGTGGACTGCATCCAAATGGGACCCCTGGATCTGAAAGCGAGCATTGGTCTTCTTCACCAGCCAGGTGAGGGAGAACTCTCATAGCGCAATGTACTTAACATTCTGGTTACAATGGCTGGACGGTGTATTAACACTCTGTTTCTGGACTGCGCAGGTGACCCGGCAGGTCTGGCTTTGCTGAAGAGAGCAGAGACTGCAGTCTTTTCGTGTGAGAGAAAGGTGTTGCTTGCGGGCTTCTCCAATCCAGAGAGCTCTGGCGAGCAGTTGTTTGAAAGGGGATACGACATGGTTTCTGGTGCCGTGGACGTGGCTCTACTCCGAGATGCAGCTGTGGCTGATCTGAAGAAAAACAAACCGATCAAAAGAGGATAACACCTTTTCGTTTTGTTGGAGTCAAGCAAGGCATCGCACCTTCTTAGCTTTTGGGAACTGACGACCATTTTCCTTTCATCACGAAAGTGAACCTGAAAAATGTCCATACATTGTTTGAAGAAGCTCGACAAAACCTGAAAAGAAGAGGCCTGACTCACCTTCGTACATCCGTCAGAGATTCGCAAACAATCCCAGCATGCCACTCAGAAGTAGATGCAGACATGGCTCTGGCTATACCGGCCATGCATGTATGATTCTGAGCAGTTTTCCCTGCGGGAAGCAATGCCCATGTAGGATACATTGTTACGCTGAGAGTTCACACCGAAAGATGAATGCTGAATGTGAGTTAAATCTTCAGCATGTTTTCCCAACGCAAGACTTGATGAATACGATCGGTTAATCGAAGACTTGAAAGTGGAAACTGAAGAATGAAAGTTTCAGTGTGCAATCAAGGTAGCTGTTAGTAATAGGAATCTGTTATCAGTCTTCTCTTTGCCATAATTGTTAAGCTTATGGCAGAGGAGGCTCGTATCATAGTCTAGCGGCACTAAGACGCTTCCTCAGTAGGACCTAATTCATTCCCTGGATAAGATCCGCATGAACCAGTCTATAATGAAAATCTGTGAAAGCTCAGGCCGGGCCTCGAGCTCAGATGGATGTTCGTGTAAGTCCCGATATTGTGTCATGTGACAGCATCGACGTATACTTGGATTGTGTTGCGGATGCGCTGTCTAGATGATATCCGTGCCCACGTCAATGATTTTGACAGGACTTCCTCGCTTATGCCTGATCCATGTTGTTGCCAAGAGACACGACTCCTGGCATGGCGCTGCTCAAACCGGATATGGCCAGGGCAGTAGTTTTAGCATCTGTGCTAATCTGACAAACATAACAGCCCCCTTGGGAAAGAGTGTGCGAGTACAATTTACTGGTGCTGTCGAAAACTCCCAATTTCAGAGTCCCAAAAGTAAGCTACAGGATCTCCGACCTGCAAGGTAGTAACGAAGTGGAGGGAGAAGCTCGAGGGAAATGTCTGACTGGACGACGGAAGAATACGCGCCAGCAAGAAAGTAGCAAGAATGCAAGTTCCAAAACTAGCCCATCAAGGACACTATTGAAGAATGGTCAGAGCACAAAACGTTAGAGATTAGCCTTGCATTGAACACTTGCAGAAATCGGTGTCAAGGAGCAACGAGCAACAATAATGGTGAATCAGATTATATTATTTCCTGGGAGCAGAATCATGTTCAGAGCTCCACATGGTTGGAAGGATGAGGGCATGAGATCTCACAACATCCTCTCTTGGATGTGGAGAGCGTTGAGGCCACCGGGCAGCTAACTCAGCAGAGCGTAGAAACCCCAAGGCCAGTCAGTGCTGGAAATGTAGCAAGTTCTGCCTTGCTGATGCCAAACTTCTTTCCTAAATCTCTAGGCATCCCATTGCGGAATGCCGTGAATGTGGAGTAGATCCCATCGATAGTAGAGATATTCCCGCCTTCTGGAACGAAGAAGTCGGAGACCTGATCGGGATCAGATGCTTCCAATTTTGAAATGCTAACAGCTCCCATTAGAGCAGTCAAGTGAATGATGATGACTCATTTGATTCACGATTGCCAACGCTAAAGTGTACTAGAGATACTAGAAACTCTTACCTGCTCAATCCGCCTCGACTCTTGGATCAAACTCCAAGTATAGGAGGTCTTGTTCTGATTCTTGGCAAAATAAAGCTTGATGCCTCCATCGCCTCAAGTTTGAATCTTGAACTCATGACAAGTGAGAGAACCACGAACATGAATCTTTATGCAGTCTGACCACGTAAAGTAGTCAACTCAACCGGACATTCGTACGAATGGTAATTTCAGAACTACTAAGCACATTCGGCATGGAAGCAAGTGAAATACCTTTGCTTTCCGAATTCTCAATACCTCCATGAGTATCTATTATATTCGTTGAAATATGAAACTGAAATGTGTTAATAATGACAATACGTTGAATTTAATCGTTCATGTATAGAACTGGGCATTGACGTCAACCATCCGTTATTTGGTTTGAAAACTTTTGTTTGGATCTGCAATTAGCATTTCGTTTTGTTCTTTAAACCTATATCCTTACCCAAAGAGCCTAAGGATTGATAATGTGTTGTTCATAACTAATGTAGTAATTAGCACATTCAACTAGCATATGGATTATTCTCGTCACAATGTAAATATTTTATTTTCATCTACTTTATTCAATCTTGAGTCTTTTGGATTTTGATTTGAACTAATTAAAGATGTTTAAAAAATTACTTATTTTTATCATATAACGTTCTTGTTGTTCATACGTTAAAACTCATAAACTATAAAGAATACATTTGTTAAATTTTTAATAATTCAAAAGTTGATTATATGATAGATAGACTTTCTATTGAATCAAATATTTTATTTCGGAATATTTATGCTCGCGAATACGTTACTTGAATATTTTTTCTACCTCAAATTCCTTATAATATGCTATCAAGGTTAGAAGAGTAAATGATATTGGTTGGATAGTTAATTATTTTGATCCTGATACATATTTTCATAATCGTGATATATGAAATACAAAATTTATTTTCATATATGACAGAAGTTCAACTTGATTGACTCTTCATAAACAAGTTTCAAAACAAAGAATGTACCAATGAGCACAGTATTTAACTTTGATATTCTTAGTAGAGACAAATTCATTGTAGATAACAAAACATGATTTTCTATCTCAAAAACCAAATCTACACGATTAGCATATATATATGTTATTTTTTTTTATTTTGAATTATCAACAATTTTTTCTTGGTTTGATGTAGTCTTATGTGAATATTCTCCATAACCTCATTGCCTTTTGTAACTTTGGTTGAAAGTTATTCTACTTTTGAAAATCACATCAAACTTGAAAAAGTTATAGAATGAACATCATACATGATGTAAAATAGAAACACTTTTGTGAATGCATTAATAGATTGTTGTATGCAAATTCAACAAATGTCAAAAAATTGTGACACTCTTGTTGCTCTTCTAATGAGAATGCTCGTAATAAATTTTCTATATAATTATTTGGTCTCTCCGTTTGTTTATCAGTTTAAGAATGATAGTATATTGACATGGCTAGTTTTGTTTTGAAAAAACTAAACAAAATTTTCTAAAATAAAATAATGAAGTAAGTATCTCTATCCGTGATTAATACTTTATTTAAGTCATGATTCACAAAATTTATATTTAGATACAATTGAAGTAATTGTGAAATTGATATTGTTTTTGTGGTTGGCCTGATGTGAATTATCTTGCTTAATTTGTCTACAAAAATCAACATTGAATCATGTCATAACGAAGTCCTTGATAATTCACATACAAGATCCATGTTGACATCTTCCCACCACTATTTGAAAGTTGTAAGAGATTGTAATAAATTAGCTGGTTTTTTATTACTCGACTAGTTTTGTTGACAAGCAACATAATTTCAAACATTAGACTCCACATACTCATGTATTTGGGAACAATAGTACAACCGTTGTATGCTTTTCGTAATTTTCTCCTCTCATATGACCTACAATGAATGTGTCATGACTTTCGGTCAAAATCAATGTGTGCAATTCTTGATTTTGTAGAATCAATATGTGCTGTTTGTATAATATCAAACCTCAAGACTTCTACACCTTCTCAGTATCAAGTGATCTCTTGATCATCTTTTGTGGCTTGTTTCATCTTGTTCCATCAATTAGCATGAATCTTCAATTCTGTAACATGATTCATATCAAACATACACAATCTTGCCATCCACATACACAATCTTCATGTTGAAATGTTGACATCATTCTGATCATCATATTTTTATTTAAACAGAAAATTCTCAGTTTCCAAATAAACCAAGGATTTATGAACGGTCTTTATCACAAACTTCTTATCACCCAAATAATGTTTTCTGTGTTTTGTTGTCAAAAAAATGATTTACTTCTTTTGTTTTGTAGTGTGATAATTTTGTTCCGCCGTCATCCACTTTTGAAAATAGAAATCAACTAAATGTCTTCAATCCTCTTATTCTTGTTGAAGTATGTCATCCATCGTTGTTTCTAATACGTCAATAGTCAACTTGATATGACGGTTAGTATCATACCACTTGAGCATAGTGTGTAACAAAACATTTTTCAATGCTTGAAAAGCTAACTCTTGAGCTATTTCACATCTCCATTTTTGTACTTTCCCTAATATGGAAATCAAGACCGAAGCTAGATAAGCAAAATCTTTCACAAATCTATGATAGAATCAAATGGGCATTAGAAAGTTCTTCAATTAGGTTTGATACTCAAGCGTTGTTCATTTATGAATGGCATTCATGTTCTCATTCATTATTTGGATACTTGCGACTTTAATTCTATAACCCAAATGATCTATTTCTAATTTGCCAAATTCACATTTTAAAACTTTGGCATACAATTAATTTTATTTCAAAACTTGAAATACTTCTCGTTAATAATCTCTATACCATTAAAAATTTTGCTATACACAAGAATATAATATAGAAAAACAATGGCAGAACTATCTAGATAAGCGCAAAAAATATAATTAATCAATTTCATGAATGTAATTGATGAATTAATGAGATCAAAAGTCATCACTAGATATTGAAAGTGGTTATACATTGTACACAAAGTAATCTTATGTACATCTTTATCTGCAATTCAAATTTGATAATAGTTACTTTTCAAAATTTAGTTTGATTAAGTAATTTGCTTTTTGAAATTGATCAAACAAATCATATATATATATATAAGGTAATGTATATTTATTTTTCACCGTTTTTTGATTCAATCCACGATAATTTATGCATAGTCTCATATATACTTTTTTCTTTTTCACAAAGAGCACTGGAGCTATATAAAGTGAAATTTTTGATAGAAAATATTATCTTGTTCAACATTTTTCCACTTGAGTTTTGCATTCTTTTAATTTTTTTCGAATCAAACGATATGAAACTTTGCAATTTTGTGTAATTCTAAATATCATCTCAATCTTGTAATTTTTGATGATAATCCCACATATATATCATCTAGAAAAACATCTCTATATTTTATAAAAATTTAGTTCAATGATTCTGGGATTAAATCTACGGATAAATGTGGATTTAATATCTTTTATGAGTCCAAGAAAACATACATCATTTTAAAAGAAGTGTGTTTTTCTCATAACAAAGATGGATAAATTCTTCTTTTGAGATCTAATTCTGTTTTCATAGATTTTTCAACCACTAATTGTTATCATTTTTCTTCTTCAATCCACCTTTGAATTGTATTGTTTCATCCATGACATTACAAGTATGATATCATATCAAGCTAAACAAAATACTCTTCATTCAATGTTTTTTTTATTTACCTCTAGATATTTTTACATTAGGTGGTAGTGTTTCTTTTACTTCAGTTTGGTTGTTTAGCAATTCAACTTTATTACTCATGTTTTTCATCAACATCAAACCTAACTTCATAGCAATATTTATTGACAAAAAATTCTATGTTGCTTTAGGATCAATCAGAACTCTCACCTTGTGTATTTTCCTCGAACTATCTATGACAATAAGTTGAGATTGTATCTCAATTCTTCCATGAGCTTCAAACCATTGATTTTTCTTATCATTGTGAAACAAGTAAGGCCACAAGTCAAGTTTACTGGTAATCTTTTTTTTTCAAA